AACCCTAAACCCTAAACCCTAAACCCTAATAAACCCTAAACCCTAACTGCAACGTCTACGATATTTCTAAAGGCTCACAATATCTCCTCAGTCATGCGCTCTGCTTGAAATTATCAAAATATAGCTGAAATTCCGTGTATATACTGTCACCACCCTACTCTGAAAACTTGGGAGAAGGGCGAAGGTTTGAGCCAAGGACAGTGGTGTTGATTCCGGTGGTCTTTTATGCCTCTGGGTTTGACGACAACTATAAGTCCCATCCCCGCTCATCTGTCGTAAGTATATTCTAACGCATAGAAATGGACAATCTTGATTATGGTGTGTACAGTGCAATATATTGCATTCACGAGGGGCTTCATAAAAGCTATAAAAGAACGTATTATAGCCTCTGCCTATATTCTAAACCTCTCATAGATTCTTCATTTCCGCCTGAAATGCGCGCTATTGATTGCAACTTGCTGGAAGCGGCAATCATACCTAGAAAGCCCTATTGCTTATACAGGCTATTGAATGATATAGAAGACGTTAGTGTAAGCGTGATTTCCTGGGTTTCAAAAACTCCCGTCTCTTTACGAGGCTGATCTAGCAAGGCCTTGTCAGCGAAGCCAAACTACGTCCATCCAAATAAACTTAGGCAGCATCTTAGTCTACCCTTTCATGGAGATTACCAATGTCATGTGTCTAAAGTCAGTGAAGTAGAAAGCCTAGGCCTGTGTGACTATTAGGAGGGATTGAAGTAGCTCGCCACGTATCTCGACTCTAGTTACGTACTGGAAGAATCCCGACTGACTTTAGAACCAACGTGGCAATGGGTTTATTGGGAATGCTACCACGAAAGATGAAGTCTAGGGCTCCAGAACCGCATGACTTCCCCATCCACTGAGCTTTGCAACCGCCTCTCGTTCCTCGTCAGCTTACTCAATCCCAAATCTCTCCTTTGAGTCATACCAGCCTTTAGCTTGGGTCTGGACGAAAAACATCAAGATCTGCCACCATGGCTCAACATGCTTTGTATGCTAGCCCTATTTATATATGCCTGCAATGGATTGGCGACACTATGGATATTCTCTTTGCGCGCAGCGTCACTGCAGATAGCATTACCGGTGGCTTTAGTGATCTCTTGGCTAACTCAGGCGACCTCGCCCATATAAAGTACAGTGCTTACTTTGGTGTCCGAATTCGCCTGATTTAAATGCGATTGAACCTACTTGATTTAGATGAAGCGACGAGCGACAAGAAAAGGCGTACCAAAAAATAAAGCGCAAGCTTATACTGCATGGAAATCAGCATGTGATGAGCTTCCTCAGCAGCAAATTCAGGTCTGGATAGAGCGTATACCTTGGCAAATCCAGCAAAGTATAACATGTAGTGGTGGGAATGAGTATCAAGAAAGTCGTGACAAAAGATATAGGGGTTGAATGTATATAATACCATACTCCGTACATGTAGGCCTCTCCTAATCTGGTAAGGTGGATAAGGAGATCTGCGCAATACTTTTGAGGGGCTCCTCCGTACTCCGTATCCGCATCCGTACCCGCATCCACATCCGCACGCCCCCCCCCCCCCGCCACCAAATAAAGCCCAGTAGGAACGCCTGCGATTTTCTCTGTGATCAACACATTGGCACCGCCACTGCACATAGGATGAGTCATTAGGTCATTACGGAATTCCTACCCTCTCGGCAATCCGAAGCTTTGGCAGTCTGGCAAATCTGGGTCTCAAGAGGGATGGATGATGGATAGCTGCGGTGCGTTATACAGCATCAAATCGCGTTTCCTGCTGCCTGTCGATTTTCAATCTATAAGAGTGCAGACAGAATAATACAGACCCTATACACTCATCTATCGCTGAAACACAATTAGGGCGAGAAGAAACTTTCTTACATCCTATCTTTGGCGATGAAAATAGGCATCTACTTCCACCAGACCTTCCTGGTATTGTTATATCTCTCAGAAACCTGACTGTTGCAAATCAGTCAGCTCTAGCTCTGGCAAGCATCGAGGTGAGTGGATCATCAATCAATCATGATCTCTGCGTGTTCCTAGCTACAAGATTGGGGAGGTGATATGTGACTACCCCGGGTGGTCTGAGAGTAGGTCCCGAGAGAGTGTCAAAACCTTTGCGTCATCAGTGTACTCCTGTATCCTAAAGATCGCCATCTTGTATTTCGTTCTTGACAGCCCCGTAACATGACGCTTTGGCGAGGTCCAGCACGCCCTCCGCCGTCTTGGTAGGGGAAGCAGTGTCGGGCTTGGCTCTCCTCATTTTTCAAGTTCCTCCCAGCTGAGTGAGCACGCTCTTAAAGCGTTACCTGTTGTTCCCAGAGCATGTGGGTCACACTTCCGCTCGCTGCAGAGGCATCTGTGGTCGTTGTCACAAAAATGCAAGATCTTGTCGTAGGTGGAGTACTAGCAGTGTCCATTCGCAAGTGGACAGGTGCTCGGTTTACTCTGCAGCGACCTATCTAGCTTTCTTGTGAATTTTGCCGGTATCTTCTCAGTTTTCTTGTAATTCCTTTGAAAAATTGGATGCCGCCGCACGGCAGGATCCATAATTTCAAGCAGATTAGGACTTGTTAGCTTCCCAATGCGGTCTAGCTCCACAAGGGGTATGAACCGATCAATCTTTCCACATCTTGAGCTACAAGTGAGTACGGGTGAAACTTGAGATTACGGCCAGCCATAGAATTTAGTGTGAATTATCTAGATTTGTTTACCACTCACATAACGGATTAAAATATGCGCATAGGGTTTACCGTCAGTATTGTATCTGGGTACTATTTCTTCCGTAGCCTGATAAATATAAATATCACTCCCTTGTCCACTGCCTCGTATTGATTTTGTTTTGGGAAACCTGGCTAGTCTTGTCTATCACCTATCTTGTATTTTGATTGCTTGTCTTTGCATGATACTCAATTTTCTGGGCTTGTGGTGGAAGAGACTGAGATTAAAAGATGTTCTCCCCATTAGCAGATCCTGTTGAGCTACCATGTGGCTTGATCCTGCCTAACCGGCTCTGTAAGGTCGTTCAAAGCTTGACTTGAGATTCCTTCGTTTACACGGTACTGATACTTTGGCAGGCCGCAATGGCGGAGAGGCTGGCTAAAAGCAACAGACCCAACAAGACCGTAAACAATGTCTACGAACAGTGGTCCGAAGGCGGCTGGGGTTGTATTCTGACCGGTATGCTACTCAACCCATGACCCTTGCATTGAGTCAATAATTGGAATTGCAGCAACTTTATTTACCGTGATAGGCAATATTCAAGTGGATATTAACCACCTAGGCGACCATTTTGACGTTGCGCATGCCGAGCATACCAGAGATAAAGCACTGGTCACGGAATGGAAAAGTTACGCTGCCGCCTGTCAGAAGCACGGCACGCCGGCCATTGCGCAGATATCACACCCTGGCCGACAGTCGATGCGTGGGGCAGGTCAGCGTGGCATGTTTGCATCGACAATCGCACCGAGTGTAGTACCTATGAATGTAGGTACCAGTTTAATGGACCGGATCACTTCTCGTGTGATTTGGCCCAATCCCCGAGAAATGACGCGGGCAGACATCGACCAGGTCATCGAGCGCTTTGTCAACACGGCGCGGCTGATGTCCGATTCAGGATTTTCAGGAGTGGAACTCCACGGTGCACATGGATACCTAATTGGTGAGTAGTTCTCCAGTGCTTTAACTGGTCAGGACAAGGGAAGGCCTACTAAGGAATTTCATTGCAGATCAATTTCTGGGGCGCAAGGTAGCCAGATCTTTAAATGACCATTGACTATGGATATCTCGCACTCCTATGGTCAACTAATGACTGCACTAGCTAACCCTCCTATCAGACGAATCTCCGCACCGATGAATACGGTGGTACCCCCAAGAAGCGCGCGCGTTTAGTGCTCGACATCCTCACGAGGATCCGCAACGTGGTGCCCCAAACCTTCTGCGTCGGTATCAAACTCAATTCTGTTGATCACAGCACCGCCGATTTCGAAGAAACCATGGTCCAGATCAAGCTCCTCGTCGACGCCGGCCTAGACTTCATGGAGATAAGCGGTGGCTCCTATGAAGACCCCCGCATGGTAGGCTACCCGGTCTCCACCAAGGCACCAAAATCCGACCGCACCGTGGCGCGAGAAGCCTTCTTCTTTGAGTTCGCGAAGGCTGTGCGGGCACAACACCCGAGCCTGGTGTTAATGCTGACGGGAGGGTTCCGGACCCGTAGTGGTATGGAGGCTGCGATCCGAGATAACGCGTGTGATCTGGTTGGAATCGGCAGGCCAGCGACCGTTGATCCGAAGTTCCCGTTGTTACTACTCGATGAAAATATCCCGAATGAAAGGGCAGCGCTTCCACTGAAATTGGTGCCGTTGCCGTTTTATGCGACTATCTTGCCGCGGAATTTAGTTGGTGCGGGTGCGGAGACGGTAAGTTTGGCGAGTCCTACGCTATAAACATGATTTTTACTAATGACTAGGCCCTAGACTTATTACGCGAGTCAAATTGGGCGTCTCGCAGAAGGTTTGGCAACGTCGGCTCCTCTGTAGTAGCTACCAGTGTATGTATCTGAACATCTTGTGGCTTCGTGAATATAGTATATTTCCGGCATCTAGATTGACTGGAGATCATGATTGGTAATTCCATCATTGGCCGAATTATGACTAGACCGCGAACACAATTTCAAAGTCTTTTTTCCAAAGGAACCTTAGGTAAGAGTGCAAGTACCTCTTTTAATATGATTAGCTTATGATCTATATTGCTTGAGGCGCGGCGCATGTGAGGTTGTATATGGTGTTTCTTCGTCGCAATCCGGAGGAGGGGCAAGTATGAATCATCGCGAAAACCACCCCACCAAAAACCACATTCAAGAGCCATTGATGCCACAAAAAAGGGCAGAATAGCAAACTCACTGTTCCTCGTAAGACTTCTGCGTCCACTGCGCATACATCAACGCATCAGGGTCATTGTTCGCCAGGAAGCCAACCAGGTGCGGCGGCTTCTCGAGGGTCTTGAGCTCTTTCTGGACCTCCTGGAGCAGGCCATTGGCGACATGCTTGGACAGCATCACCTTGTAGGAGGACGGGGAAGAGGATGCTGTGGCCGACATGGCGACTGGTATAATTTGGAAATGCAAGAGCCGGGCGAATGACTCTTCTGGTTCACGCAGGGGACTCGTAATTCTGAGGGAAAAAGATTGTTCGCTTATCGATAAAAGAGCGGATGCCGCATTCGGCCTCACTTGCCGAACTCGCTACTTGGGACTATGTACTTTGCAAATTTCAAATTTAGACTACTCGGTGGAATAAATAGTCTTTTTTAATTTGTTACTTCGAGCCTTGAGAAATATTATTTCCATATCACTAGGCTGTCAAAACGTTAAGCATGTTGAACACCCATCCCATAGCGAGAGAGGCCGAACCAGGACGCTTTGTACCTGGATTTCTTAGAACCTAGATGGAATTGGACATAGTATAGGTGCACGAGGAAGCCACCATGGAAAAATTATCCCACAAAAATACGGCCATCTAGTTCTAATCTAGCTTAGCTGTGCCATGATGTTCACGCCATGTCTCTTGTCACCGATTTGTACCTTCTATGCTTATACCCCTCATTTGTCTTCTTCTAGATCCTTACCCATCCTCATGCTGTCCGCTCAGTAGTTTTGATGACGACTTTCTTGTTATTTCTTTGAAGCTGACTTACCAAGGAAAGTCTTCGAAAACATTATTCTTAGACATCTAATATGCTGGTAATATACTCATGATAGTTAACTTGGAGTCTGTCAATAACAGTCAAGTGCTAGCTAGTTGGTATATCCATTATCAAACGTGCTGATGAACAGACTGGGCTATGATTCGCAGTAAATATAATAGAGGTAGCACTAGCGACACTTTATTTTAATTACTGTGCCAACAAATCCTTACGTGTATTAGGGTGATTAGTGCCTCTTGAGGGCAATCATTTCCCCATGTACGGCTACTCCCAACTTCTTTCCCAGGGAATCACAGAGGCTCTTTCCTCCATTCTTCTGCAGTTCCACAAGGCTCATAGGCCTGGAGAAGTATAATTAAGATGGAGAGCTTCCCAAATGAGCTATTCTCCACATCATCGCTTTTCTGTCGTGAACCCTCGATCCGGGCACTAGCACAAACAAACGGCCCTCTTTACTCCATTTGCTCCCCATGTCTCTATCATAATAACGTGTTGCATGGTAATAACACTGCATTGGCCTGGGAAGCTGAGCATGGAAATATCGTCACATTGCAAAAGGCATCAGATGCCGGTGCTCCTTTACCTGCAAGTTCAGGTCCCGGCCCAACCACGTATGGCCCTGTTGTGAACGCGTACGGCAAAATCATCCGAGAACGAGTCTACCAGGATTTCCCGACCCGTCTTGCCTCTCTCGCCGCCAAGGGTGGCCACGAGGAGATGCTTAGATTCACGTTATTGGCCCTCGCCGCTATTCATGACCATACTTCGCTCGTTCGCTTCTTGCTCAGTCAGGGTGCTCGCCACAATATTCGCAGTCATGGAAGCCACTGCCCTATGTGGCGGGCGGCGTTCCATGGGGATGAAGAAATTGTCGCTCTCCTCCCTGTAGATGTGAAGAAGCGTTGGGCAGATGGCTTTATCGAGCAGATTCAAGATGGGCTTTGGGCTGCCATGATAGGAGGTCATCAATCAGGGGTCCAGTACTTGGTTGAGCGCCATGACGCAGCAGTGAATTGGTACTACGGAAGTTCCAACATCCCAACCCTCATCCTGCGAGCAGCTAAAGATGGGAGGGCCGATATTGTACGGGTCCTTCTCCAGCTCGGGGCCGAAGTCAACGGTGGCTCGTTGCCTTCAGCAGCACGCATCTAGAAGCCTCTGATGGTGGCAGTAAGACAAGGCCATTACGAGGCTGCTGAGATCTTGGTACAGCGGACTCTTCCAATTTTCTGCACAAGCGCGCTGGCACTATGCGTGACATAGCAACCTCCAAATGGCAGAGATGTTGCTCAACGATGGCACCAATGCTGAGTTCCGCGAGGAGAAAATTTCCGAATGCGGAGAAGCTGAAGATGGAGATGATTGGGTACGGCCATTACTGCTGGCTGTACTCGAAGAGGACTTAAAGATGTGAAGTTGTTGTTGGACAAGGGGGTCGATGCTAACTTGAAGTGCTCAAACGTGCACAGTTGGAGATTTGCTGATCCCTACCGCTACGTGATGTTCTCGGCTGTAGAGCTTGGACCAGAAGCTCATACCCTGAGTGAGACGAAGGGTTTATTCGATCCATTTTAGAGGAGTCCGAGGCAAACCAGCACTGCAACACATACTCTCTTCATGTTAACTTCATAGTCCTCATGAGCATAGGTGATACGTGAAAGGCAAGATTGATCAAGAGTAGCGCGATTACAGGGACTCGGGGAGTGTAGCAGTCTGACAAGTGCACGGTAGTCATGAGTGCTTCATGGCCTGACAAGAAAGTCAGCCCACAATGTCATATGCAAACTATACGAGGCCTATTGAGCTTTCCGACACTTAAAAATATAAGCTTCAGGTCAAGAAACGAGACAAACCTCAATGAAGTAAGTAGGTAAAGGCAAGCGTGTCCTCCCATGTCGGTAACAGAACTTGTACGGGAATTGTGGACAAATTATCATAACTGGATATTTGATACTTAGGTACCCGGGGTGTCCAATAAGTAGCTATAGATTCAACTAGTCCAACCCTATTCAAGCCTGTCCACTCCCCTTTACATCATTCAACTTTGTGTCTTGTATTTTACATGAACTGGAATCTATCAAGATCGCGTTTTTATCCGCCAAAAGTTTTATGAATACGATATCTGACTATAGAGCTATTCACCGTTTAACCTTCGTTCGGTTCCTCGTCTAGTTTCAGGTATCAAACAATTGGCCAATGTCTATTACCGTCCAAATAGGCATTATAGAGGGCAAGACTGCGACAAGTCTGATCCACATAGCCAGTAATACTCATACGTAGCCCCAGCAGAAGTAATACAGCACCAGTCCGCACAGGTGTCAACATAAACACCGCCGTTGGAGCAGTTACAAGAGCAGTCGCCGGGCGAGAGACATCTATTCATGGCCATTAGCACTGTCGCTGTGGGTACCCCAAGAGCAGTAGCGGTAGGTGAAACAAGATAAGCGAAAAAATAAAAGGATAACTCACGAATCAGTACAGGTTACACTAGGTGTCGAGGCCGTAGATGTGGTGGTAGAAGTTGGCGACGTGGTACTACTGGTAGTGGCGGATCCGCTGCCCACGTCGCCAACCATGTCTCCATCTGTGTCGTAGTAGTTGCACTGCGACAGATAGCATGGGTCATAGTCGTCGTCGGACTGGCAGAATGGTAGGTAGTCGTAAATGTTGATGTCGAGGTAGCTGCCGCCAAGTACTGATGGAATATCTTGACGCTTCACCAAGACCTCTGCTGCAGCCGGATTGATATCCGGGGCGGTGATGTTTTGGTTTGGGTTAGAAAGCTTCACCGGCATCTTCATGTCAATCTCCAGATGTGATTCCCTTGATGATACTTTTGAAGTTTCCCAATCTCCCGAGTCGTGCGCCATTCCCGCCATCCAATCATCATGAGCATCCCTGCTACTCCGCCGCCCGTATGCCCTCTTTTGGAAATTTGCAGGCACGGTCTGACAGGAGATAGACTTGCCCGCCGCGGATTCAGGCGGAATTGCAGAGTTCGGCGTTGCACCAGGGGCCTTCTGCCACTGGTCGTTGCTATAGGTCAACAGTCCAGGACTGGGGTTCTTGCACCACATCGGCGGCCGATCCACAACTAGGGTCGCCTGTGCGTTGCTGAGGATCGTGTGTGCGCTCAGTCGCCCTGCTCCATCGACGTTGAACCAGGGGTCCCAGTCGCTCGGGGTATCTCTCGTTGCGTAGCCGCTACTTGTCACAAGGAGGAACTCAGGACCTTTATGAACGACTTTATATTAGCTATGCGTTGTCTTAGGTATCGCCTGGGCGGGAACTCACCATATGGGATTGCACAGCGATTCAATGTGCCTGCCGCCGATGACAACCCGTAGTCGTTACTAGCGTCTAGTTTCGAATTGATAAATTCGATACCTAATCGACAGACAAATGCAGATTAGCGAGAGAGAACAGACTTGGCAAGGATGTATAGAGTAAAGGAGTGGAAGTGTCTTACAGAACGGTCGCCCAACAAGATTTAAGGCGCCCCCTGCCTTCGAAGCCCAGTCCGCAAGCCACCGATTAAGATCATCGCCATGCTTCTGATTCTCATCCTTGGGAATCAACCGCAATGCGGGTTTCATATCTCTATTACGGCCAGATGACCACGGATATTCTTCCACGCTGCACCCCAGAAGTCCCCACCCTTCAGCAGGTTTTGATCCCTGGGCTCGGTCAAGGATTGCGTCTGCGCCGTATTTCCCCTTCGACCAGGGCTGTGTGCCGTGGATTCCGCGCAACTGTCTGGTCATGATGGAAGGGAAGCCGCGGACTGAGATGGCAGATTCGGCGTGGCCGCAGACGTTTGGAAAGCTGTTTCCATCGCAGGTGTAGATCCGGTCGCAGGTGGGATTACTCGGTGGAGTGCTGGTTGTTGAGCTGGGTGGGGATGGACAGGCATCGGCACGTTCAACGAGGGACGGTGCCTTCTTAGTTGTTGGGATCGTGGTATTGGATGTCAAGGTGGATTCGCGCTTACTGAAAAGGTTCTCAAACCCTGTACAGTCCAGGCATTGCTGCACGACGTTGGCGTATATAGAAACTTGACCTGGGTTATCCATCGCCCAACTCTGACAGCTGGTGAGGAAGGAAGAGAGATCCGCGGCGTCATCTGGCGAGGAGCAGTCGATTCCCGTTCCCGGTAGATACAGTGGGAAGTTTCCATTACCGCAGAGTCCAATAGATGTAGATAGACTCGGGTCGCAGCATACCCCATTGGGACAGGCCGGTGTGCGTGCGCTGCTTGGACTATCCGTATTGGGTAGTATAATTGGAGGAGGAATGAGCAGTGACGGTCCATCTGCAATAGACAACGGTACGAATCCCGCGGGAATGACGACCGGCACGGCGAGCGGTACGCAGCATGGGATAGTTTGGCTGTCTTCAGTGTCGCTGATGTCTTCAGGGTTGGCAGGGACGGAAAAGGCGACGTTGGGGATGAAGCCGATGGGGAGTGGGATAGGCAGTGGAACCGCCAGCAGAGGCGGAATGAGAATAGGATTGGCCAAGGTCCCGTTGGAGCCGCAACACGTCTGCGAAAGCAAGCGGAAGATGTCGCACTCCTCGTCGCACTGGCTTGGTCCTGGTGGGCTGTTCTGGGTCCCTGCTGTCGGTAAGGCGAGGATCCCGCTGGTACACTCGGCCGACATGGTGAAGGTCTGCGACGGAGGAACGGTGGTACATGGCAGGGGCACAATACTGACATTATCTGGGGTGATATGGCGATTGTTTCCTGTTGAATCGCCCCCTAGATCTCCTCCAGCCTCAGCAAGGGCTAGCCAAGCGCTGATTGCTGTCAGATAGCCGTTACGATTTTCGGCCTGCATCACGATAGGGACGCCCCCCTCGGGGGAGACGGACTCGGTGCTGCCCTTTGTGTAGATGCTGTACATCCAAATGCCCTGGGAGTAGCTTGTGTCTATTAAAGCCTGCTGACAGCTTTCCGTTGACAGGCAATCCTGGCTGTATGCATCGAACCAGCTGTATACTCCGGCTCCGTAGATGTAGACCTCTGTGCTCCTGAGGATGCGCAGCGCCCACGCCTTTGCACATCCACCGGCGGAGCCCAAGCAGTTCTCGAAAAGCGGGTCATCCACGAACTGTCCTAAGGTAAAAGGCTCGGTCGCTGGCGGTGTCGCTTGGTAGTAAGGGCTTTCAGTCTGCAAATGGCCCAGGAAAATGTTGGACGCATTGGTGAGCTGGTACTGATAAAGCACCGAGTGCTCAGAGGACGTTCCATATAGCCATGTTGGACCCGAAGATTCAATCAAGATTCCACGACCACAGAAGACATTGATCTGGCTTTGCTCGGGAATATCCAAATCGTGGTCCGCAACCCAAGCCCATACATTCTCGAAATACCCGGATGCATAGGCGGGGATGTGCATCAAAAGCGACGCCGCTATACAGTTGGCATCGACCGAACCTGATGCCGGACAGTCGGCCGCTTGGAGGTTGGACCCTATAGCGCCTCCCACACGGAAGTGGGTATCCCACATACCTGCGGATCCCTGTGTACTCTCGTGCACATTCCACTGCAGCAGGATAGCCCCAGCTGTCGGGCCGGATACGGTCAGAAGTATATCGGAGATCTCCACGATACCCTGATCTCCCGCTTCGCCCACAGTGACCAAAACATTCGGGTTATTAGCATCCTGGAAGTACGTTCCACTCGCCATGATCTGCGACCAAGCTTCGCCGACCATCCGTGTGCCAACAGGAACAAAAATCCCGGATTGCACGGCATATATTCCAGCGGGGAAGAAGATGACGGCGCCGTTGGCGTTGGCAAGAGCCTCATTGATGGCTGCACTCTGATCGCCCGTTCCGTCCCCGACTGCCCCATAATCCGCGATGGAGATGAAGGAGCTGGCCGAAAGCTCCTCGTACTGTGGACGAGATCGCTGGAAGTACTGGCCACCATCCGAAAGCAGGGTCGAGGGTTTGGAAGGCACCGGCTGTAAGTTGCTCAGCTCGTTGGACCCTACATCATAAAGGCTCGTGTAGCGCCTACCCATAGCCCAGGAGGAGATGGTTTCAGAGCCACTCGTCGGCCCCGCAAGTAGCGTCGCTCCGCCGGAGATGAGGACGACTGACGCAGAATTCTCGATGAGCAGGTTGTCGAGAGTAATGGCCGGACGATTGTCATTATTCACGGTGATCGCATAAGGCACCCCGTTAAAGGTCGAATCAATAACGGTCAGCGAACCCACCCCTTGGCCATCAATGCCGCCCATCTGCGTGCAGTCAAAAGCGACGTAGCAGGATAGAACATTGACATTCTTCCATGTCCAGCCCCAATCCCAGATCATCGACACTGCGGTCAGACAGGAGGTAAATTGTAGATTTGTGGCGGTGAATTGCTGACTGCCAACCCGCATTCCCAGGTTACCTCCGTAGAAGGTGAGGTCGCTCATGAAGCCACCGGAGCCATTCTCAGTGAAGATGCCAACTGCCGTTGTGGCTCCTGCGGCAGTTGATAGGGGCATGTTGAAGTGAAGGTTTTGGAGAGAGGTGGACTGGGCGACTTGCCAGTGGATGCCCGTTGGCACGTAAGTTTGGTCTCCCTCCTGGTTGGAGGAAGGCATCGCGGTGAGGTCGAAGATAAAGTTGCGAATCTGTCTGTAGAACTGGTTCTGATTCACGTACCACTCGCTACCGTTGCCACCAGGAATATAGACATCGGTGTCAATCAAGGCAATTCCCGAGAAAGACGCCAATCCGGCAATGATGGGACGATCTGTCGGGTCTCCGATGAACTGGGTATAGTAATATTGCAGAATGGGAGAGCTGACGGCGTAGGTGCCAGGAGGAAAGTACACGATGGCTCCCAAGGTGGTTGTAGACCCGCACGACTCGCCGCAGCGGTTTCCATCGGTGACGGCAGCATTGATCGCAGCGGTGTCTACCAGACTGTTAACAGGTCATATCGAAGTGGGTATCCATCTTGGTTGGTGCTCACCATCCGTGACGCCATCACCCTTGGCTCCGTAGTCCATCACATTTCGCCAGACTTTATATCCCGCCGGGGCATGCGGCATCTAAGAGGGGATTAGTATCCTTGTCCTATCTTTAGAGAAAGAGGATTTAGGGTGGAGCAAGCTCACTTGGCCATGTTCCATGCTCGCCAGCCAGTAGCTGGTCTGGGCTTGTGCTGTTTCGGCCAGCAGGGTGAAAGTGTGAATTGAGCCCGAGGTTACATTCGATTCTGACAAAACCGGTCCATTTCTAGTCCCATGGTCTGGCGCCGTTCCAAAAGTATTGCCTTCCTGGTCAACCATATACGCTGGTGGCGGAATATCCGAGAAGACAGGTAAATCCTGCCCACTGCCCAGAGGCACTAGCAGGAGGAACCACCATAGGAGCAACGACAACATCGACAGGCGAACTGACGTGGCAAGATGCATAATAATATTCGAAAAAAAAAAAAGAATGATGAGTTGATGCCTAGTATGATTGCAATCGAGATCTCCCGCAGTCAACGCCTATACCCAAGGTATCTATTTAAATAGTACACCCAGAGTAAGGCCCCAGTACTGCTGAGCTACTCTCTGAAATCCAATCACCTCCTAGAACGTATAACAAGCCGCCCTGATTATGGGACTCTGCCGAAATTGTGAGACATTCTTACGGTGCGGCCGCACTCCGCACTACCACTTTCCACTCGTTGGAACCAGTTCAGCCGCTTCAGAGTCGTATTTAGAGAAGGGAGTTTGCTCAGCCCTTATCGTCTGACCCAAATCTGCTCGTAGCCAGCATGTTGAATATGAATCTTCGTATCCATCTTGGCGGCTGCTGCTGCGGCGTGGTAGCAGCTGCCTTGACAGGACTGCTCCGATCGGCTCCAGACCTGAACTTGACCGCGTTGTATGAAGAGCTTTCCGATTTTCTGTCGCATGGCCAATTGATTATTGAAATATTGCCTCATCTCACGCTCCTTCTGTATCGGCTACCTGAAGGTCTGCTCATCCTGCTCTCCTATGCTGGGTGTTTACTACAGAGCGCAGTGCTGGCATGGATCCTTGGCTACGTGACCCAAGAAGGATCAGAATCTTGCTGGACTTCCATTATCAGCTGTCTAGCTCTTAACCCGACCTATCGATCCGGGAGTGGAGATGTCCAAAGTGCTCTGGCTATCGGCGACTCATTTGGACAGTCCGCGCTGCTTATTGTATTCCTTTTTGCAATACAGGATGCTCCCTATGCCGCAGGCAGAGTTTGGATTTCTACATTTCTCTTGTTCATCGCAGGCTTGACCTGCCATGACCTAATGTTTGTAATTTCAATGCTTGCTGTCTATTTAGCTGGGTTCCGAACGCTATTTGAGCAGCGGCGACGCTTACCCTCAGAGCCGGTGAGAAGCAAGCATTTGGGCTTCCTCATCAGCACACGAACTGACGCGTATCAATATAGAACATTGGCACAATGCGCTTCCTATACAGAATACCCTTGGCTGCTCTTCTAGTTGCTGGCGCGCTGTTCCTGGTTTCAGCCTTTGTCTTCCCCGTCAGCGAGACCTCCTACGCGGGCAACTACCATCTTCGTCATTTATCAGCCGCCGCACGCCGAGAAATGCGTAGCCAAATATCTCCGCTCTCGAAGACAGACTACAAGGAGGAAACCGGCTTAGAAAACACGAGTCTCCAATTCGCCCTTCGTCCCGGAACTATAGTGAGCATTTATCTACCACACGCCGGATTTCTCTGGTCGGATTTCAACGCATGGGACGAGGAACACGCCATCTTTTACCCCTTGGATATGTCATCCTCTTCGCTAGAGGCAGCGACTTGGCGAGTTGTTTTCAAGGATCCAATTGGGCGTATGAGTTAGTCCACTCCCTATCCTCCTCAACGCCATCATGGGCTTTTGTAGTGCATATATCAACCGTCATTCTGATTATCTAGAACCGTGGGTAATTCAGCGCCCTGTTACTTCCTACTCCCCGAGTGGCACAATTAGCCCGGTCTTGCACGGTGATCGAATCCTCTTACGTGACGCCGAACTCGATGGATTTCTCACTGCCGAGGCGCAGCCATCGATCCTTGACCGGCTCTTCCTTGGTGGTGACCCGACTACTGGTCGACATGAAGTGAAGTACGCGAATAGTGACTCCCGTCTTATCAGACATGCCACAAGCGATTCCATCCCCAGCTGACGTGCCTCCAGCGTACAGGCCGTGCCGGGAAACGGCTCCCTCTGGACCATCAAATACAATCCGGCCACTGACTGCGGATTTCGGTTATATAACCCAGAACGCAGCTGCTATCTGTCATCATCGCTACGCAATTTTCCAGACTGGGACGGTGCATTAAACGACACGATCGCTGCATTGCTTCACTTGGAGCTCGAGGCGACCTGTATGGCAGAGCCCAAAGACGCCGTTTCACGATTGTTCCTTGTTGATGGTTGGTCTACTCAATCATCATCATACTTTAGGCTTGGACGGGACATTTACAAGGTTCGTTTCTTTCTCTCGGCTATCGGGAAATTATGGTCGCATGTAAGGTGGACCGTCCGCATTCATAGGGTCATGTGGTATCTTTTCGCCTTTAGGCAACAGTATCCTCACTGGCAAGATACTCCGCAGTATCATTTGTCTCCGCAGCATCATCGAGACTGCGCGCAAATCGCTGAATATTACTCGAAATTGCTGGGGCTCTTAGCTGTACTGGCCTCTCTGCGGCTCGTTTTACAAAAGTCTGTGCGAAACCGCCTCCCCTCTCAAACACCAAAGCCACACAGGATCCTTGTTGCTGTATTTATCTTCACAATCTCAAGTGTGCTCTTAAACAGGCTTATGCGAGCAGAGTCAACAAAGGCTTATGGACTTTTAGCATGTATCCTGGTCGGTGTGGGTGTTATGAGTGAGACCAAGGAGATACATCGGATACTGAAGTCTGGCTAGCCTGGAGAATGTTAGTCTTTTTTTGTTCCTAGATCCAACTGGACAAATACGGATAATTGTAATAGATGATTATTACCTGCAAAGTAGCAGTCTTGCCGAGAATGTGAAGTCGCTTTAGTGCCCTGTTTTTGGCCCCCAATACTGGAGCAGCGCACATCCGCTCCCGCACTTGCATCAGTATTACTCTAACAAGGCTAGTGCGCGAGTGTTTCAGAATAATTCAAAAAATCAGGTCAGGTACTCTTGAGAGTGACCGATGACGATCTAAAGGTCTTGATCTTGTAGCATGTACCTACGTCTGAACATCCAAGTTCGTCTAACCTCTACCTCGGATATCCAGTGTACATTGTGGGTCGCTTTGCATTAGGCCCTGCTTCTCAAACTGCCTATAATTGAAGAGAATGAGAAGAGATAAACTCTAGAAGTATTTTAAAGGATTTATAGACCCTTTTTTTCCACGATCCTGCGGATGATGGGGAGCCTTACATTCCTTGAATATGTATTGCTGCTTGTAGATCAGAAGGGAGGAACACAAAGATTCTACGAGATTACCGCGGTAGTTTCAGCTGAAGGAGAACTTGAAAAATAAAAAATAATCGTGCTGGGATATCTATTGATGGAAATACTAGAGCTCCGCAGTAAATCTGTTTCGCGGTACTTTGACTGGCATCTGACACACGTGGGCAATCGTAAGACGAAGGCCTATATATAGACAAGTCCAATATGATATCTACCCGCCTTCTGTGAACGGGGTGCACAAATAAATCAACTGCCGCCTCTCTATGGCTTGGACCAGCATTCGTAAGATTCAATCGCGGCGCCCAGAGCGATAGGGCTAGAGCCAGTAATAGATCTCACACCCGGGTACTCCAGGGTCAGCTCTGCCGCACCAGAGCAAGAGTCATTGCTACTAGGACGTTAGCGCTTCTATTCACCATTGTTGGTCTAAGGGGGGAAGGTGACTCACATATAGATATTGCAGTATATGCCCTCCTCGGGCCCGAATCCTTCGGTGTTGTGGTTGCTGCGAATGTGGGATTACAAGGTCAGACTATGAATGCAGCAAACTGGGAGCTTCAAGCAGAGGGTGAATCAAGGAGGCAAGATATGACATAAGAGTAGTCAATGAGTATGTTATGATAACACTTACAAAGTGCTCGAGGCCAAGTTGGAGCATTTTCCCAGAGGGTAGGCACGGTTGGTGCAGTAGCCATCCCACTGGTAGCCGGTGCACATATAAACCTGTAACCAAGTAAGACTCAACGATTTGGTCTTCAGCCTTTAATATATCAATATATCAACGTACATGGCCGTTGGTTCGCTTTTCAAGCGAGTTGGCATGCTCGTCCGCTGTGGGAGCTGCCATAGTGAAGGCGGCCAGGGACCCGGCGAGAGCGACAACCTTGTAGAAGAACATCTCGAACAATGTACAAGAGAGACAGTATGAACAAGAATGAAGAAGGTAGTAATTATTATTAAGGAGGATTTAGCCCAGAATCTCAGTGACACTTATATGCTTCCAAGCCATCGTGAAGTACTCGGGTCTGTTTCTGGCCTGGGCTGAGTGTGCATTGCTGATCCCGAGAATATTGACAAGTTGAACAGGAACTACGGGTAAGCTATATCGCTGATGAGATCCACTGCGGCACTTGACAAGTCAGGAATGAGTTATAAACAGCTGAGCTGCGGAGGTGCGGAGGTGCGGAGGTGCGGACGCCATACGATGTTTAGAGCGGAACCCACAAGACGACGTCGTCAAAGGAATCGGTGAGCTGTATAATGGCTAGATTGCATACACGATCCCAAGTTGGGGTAGTAAGCTGCCGAGGTGCGGACGCTACTTATGCGGTTGCGGCTGAATAAGACTCGGTAATTTCTGATGGGAACGAAACAAACTATGATTGGCATACCATATGTTCCAAATCACGCTCAAAGACATCCCTATGCAAAGATAATACTCGAAGAGTCTATTGATTTCGAAATATTAATAACCACAACTCTCCTATCCCTTGGCCAATTACCCAACGATCGTTTTTATATTGATCAAGATGAAAAGCCTTATCCTGCTTCTCATGGCCCTTGGAGGGGTGAGTGCCTCTGGCTCTCAGGTGAACTTGTAAGCATCTCAGATATCCCATCTGTCTAGGAATCCTAGTTGACCTATCTATTGACAGCTACTACGACGATAATTGCCAGAACTATGCCGGCCATAGATATATCGCGCTAGATCAGATTACTGGCGGACCCTACGGATCTCAGAGCATGCTCTTTGTCTACGATGAAGATGAGTGCTCTGGTACTTGCGGACGTTCGTATCATTCTCGTTCGGAACTGACCTTGCTTTATTTTTAGATACTGACTTTTATAGCGAACCTTATATTCTGTAAGAATGCAGAATGTTCTGCTTGGGACATGGCAAGCCGCCTTGGGGAATGCAAGCATTTTGCAAACGGGGTGTGGGCAACAAAGGTCTGCGGATGCTATGGCTGTACCTCAGGGTGTAGTGGAGAGCTTTAGACGGAGTGGGATTTGTTCTAAGGAAATCTTCAGCAATTCCACTAATACTGAATTCGCGATGCCCCGGATAGAAATGTGATATTGGGTGGCAGTCATCTGCGTACACTTAGATCAATCAATCTTTTAATCAACACTCTATTAACCTTTTGCAGCCTAACTAGTGGCGTAATGGCTATGCAGGCACTCTGTCCGGCGGAAGCAAGAGTGATCCGAACGTCAGCCAAAGAATTAAAGGACAGTAAATAAAAAGGAAAATGGCGTATTGCCATATAAATCAGCCCAAAATTCAGTATAAAGTAGTATCAAAACGTCCGCAAGGCCCTTAGTCCCACAATATATCTCTCAAGTCGCCTATAAATTGGCCTGCTGCCTCCTTTCCATCTCCATCTTCGCTTTCTCTCCCTGGTATCCTCGTCCTTCTGCTTCATTCTCGATTGGTGGTGTTCGTTATTGATGTTAGATGTAGTCTTTCACGACCTCTCGGTGGCCGCGGGTTTGGCGTTACTCCTACCTAGTGTTTTCCCCCCCTATGCCGTCGCCAGATCATCCTGATGGTTTGTTTTCGTTGCCTGTTAGCTCTGCCTCGATCTCCACGTGTCGAAACTGTCCCAGGAGGCCTATTTCAAGCATGAATTCGGCCACGTAGCGGGATACAATTATATCGTAATCGGTCGAATCCCCAAGATCGGTCATTCGAATCTTATCAAGAAAGGTTTGCCTCAAATCAGCGTACAACGGGCACTGCATTAGAATATGTCTCGGTGTTTGAGACCCTTCTCCACAGTAACACTCATCTGATTCAACCGCTTTGATTTTGAACAAGAAGTGATTTAGTGCGATCTGCATAGAACGTATTTGAGTCAGGATCGAGGTGTACGGTTTTGACATGGAGTCGAATAAACGTAGCACCTTCTTGCCTGGAACCTTCACCATGGTTCGGCTTGCGAGTTCGCTCCTTTGCCCACTCTTGTGCCCATCTCTCTTTGATGCGTCACCGCACTCGACGCTTCGGCGTACGCTTCGATACCAGACTATTGCCGAAACTTCCCTCAACTATTTTCTACCTCATGCTGGGCAAAGACTTATTTCAAAATCCTCAATGGCACAAAATACTTGAAAAGTTACTACCAGAATACGAGTTGTGAGTCGACAGCCAGTCCGCACCCTGTGATAGAGGCAACGAATGATGCTGAGTTTGATTGTGCTAAAAAGATACATTGCACCAGGCCTCGGAATGAGTCCTTCATCTACTAATGCCAAAGCACTGGAAGATGAAAGTAACATGTTATCCGTTGCAATCGGGATAGATTTCCTATCATCGAGGGTGCTTTGTAACGCGGTCCTCCTGAATTACACGCACCATCTGACACAAATCCCACTCCTAGGCCAATTTTAACCCTCAATTCCCTGAAGAACATACTTCTCATTGTCTCCATTATAGTTGTAGTCCCATTCACCACCGTTCTTTCCCTCATTCTGCACGCATTGGGAGATGATATTGTTAAACGCGTCCTAAAGTTCAAGGAACATGTTAGTCTTCCTCTTCGCAACATAGGGAGGGTCTAATACCCAACAATGAGCCTTTTCGGACCCAGAGTAGCTGGCCTGGATCTGCAAAGGATTGTAGTTTGGATAGCCAGTGTTACCAAAACTATAATCAACGCTGGATCCGCCGTTGCAAATTCCCGCTGCTGTTTCCTGGTAGTCCGCTACCGAAAGGCCTGGGTTGCCACTTCCGTAACAGTTCGCAGCCAGGGCAACATGGCCGGCCGAGAGGAGGAGGATAAATTGAGCTTTGAAGTTTGGAATCATCATGATTCTCCTATTTATGTATAGATAATAGATGAGTGAAACCGATTGTTGACTGTTTTCTTGTTGACCCGGGGCTCAGGGAGTGCGTTTGTCGGCTATATTTATAGCTTTCACGAGAAAAGGCTAAGCAACTATATCAATGTTGCAACGGATGTGTGGGACTCAGCTTATTCTCTAAAGTAAGACATTTACATTTGTCGAGATGCGGGAAAGAATCTCACCCGCACTGACACCCGCACCAACGACGCATCCACGATCTACCAAATAAGTTTAGGCCAAAATATATTTATTTGCCGCATTCAAATATAGGTGAGAGGCCCAGCAACGCCCCATCTTGGAATGTATGCTGATGGTGTTTCTGACACTAGCGCAAGGAAGCAAAAGAAGAGAATGGCGTCAATTGGTCTATCAAGAAGAGAGTAAGACGACGACGAAGAAGAATAAGAAGAAGCAGAAGAAGGAGAAGAAGAAGAAGGAAAAGACCTCAATAGGCCTACAAGACACAAGGGACAAAAGGCTGGTCCTGGAAATCACCAGCAAACCTGCAGAGCAATCGATGCAGGGCCAACCGGATGACTGCACCACTAAACGACCGAAATCGAGGTCAATATCTAGGTCAATGGCGGTCGAGTCACACAATGCTATGAATTTCCACAAGTTAGCAATGGCCACTCGAGCGTATAGTGAGATAATTCTTCAGGATCGACGTCGAAGACATAAAGCATACAGTTCACCTGAATCCTAGTGATCAGCGTTCTTACGTAAAATTGTAGGTACCCTCCAGCATGGAGCCTTAGGCATCTCAGCAGGTGGGTTCATGAATTGCGTGCCAGAATATTGGATACGGGCTTGAATATTTTCCCTTTTCTCCTGTCCATGAGTATATATACCTATTGACGTCGTCAGCATACGCCGTCACAAGCGTGCCGTAGTCTTCAAGTTGAGATTTCAGTAGTCTGAATTATCGTCGAGGCTTTCTTGATAGATGTCAAGGCAAAGAACTTTTATGGCTCCTCCCCCTGAAAAACGCTGGCTTTGTTGAAAAATCGGAGAGCGTCTACTCAGGGCTTATCTTAAGTTATGAGGATCTTCAATATTGCCAACTCTCTGGCATATGTCATCCCGCATTCGAGATCCTGCCACTTATTTTAATATTACTTGGGCTGAGCAAACTGAAATATTATAATAGAATGTCCACTCGATGCCGTTCTATGTTCTACATTTATATATGCTACTATCGAATTTAGTAATGCATAAAGTTCGTTCCGTTTGGCCGCTATAGTAGAGCATGGGGTTTCAGATGGATTGGAGAGTCTGGAGTAGAATAGGCCTGCATTGTCTTGGATCTGAGAACTCAGGTTTCTAAGAGGAACGAGGAAATTGACAATGAATCAAGCATAAGTTTAAAGTGTCTGAACTACCCTGGGCAACCAAATTACTAAAGTTGGTGACCAAGTAGGATTTTCATGAAGGCAGCTTAGGTACTCAGCAGGTGTAACACATTAGCCTGCCTTATTTGCCGCTTTGATTCGATTCTGTTTTAAACGCTGGATACTACCTTTGCGATGAAATCATGATCAACATTCCCACCACACAGAATGATGACGCTGGTTTGGCCGGTCAGTTTATCAGCAACTTTATTGAACCCGGCGAGAGCAAGTGCCGCAGAGCCCTCAGCGATCACATTTTCTCGAGCAGCAAGATCCTTCACAGAGCTCAAAATCTCTTCCTCGTCGCACTCAAGAACAAAATCCACGACCGATTTTGCCAGGGAAAATGTTATCGTATCTTTATCAATACCTCCCGCCACAGCATCGGCCAGCGTAGGGAGATGATCTGTTTCAACAACATGACCGGCAGCTAGAGAGGCTGCCAAAGCTTTGGAATTGCTGGCGGAAACTCCATAAATATTCGTTTGTGGACGGAAAGCTTTGAGAACGGACCCGATGCCGCTGAGGAGTCCACCGCCACCCATAGAAATAAAGATATTATCGACCTCATCAATCTGCTCGAGTATTTCGAGTCCAATTGTTCCTTGTCCAGCGATAACATCGGCGTCGTTGTAAGGCGAGATATAAGTATAGGACCCCGAAGCAGCCAGCTGCTGCGCATGCTGTTCAGCAAGTCCAGTTTCCGCACCGTGCAGCATCACATCAACACCAAACGATCGGATTTTTTCCAACTTTGCCTGCGTTACTGTATTCGGTAGGACGACAGTAAGGTCCTTTGACAGCACTTTCGAGGCAAAAGCAGCACCAATTCCATGATTACCTGACGACGCTGTTATCAGTCGTCCTTCTATTATTGGGGACGACAGCTTAGAGAGTGCGCCTCTAATTTTGAAAGACCCAGTAAGTTGAAAATTTTCTGCCTTGAACAGAACTTTTGCGTTATGGTCATGACCGATTTGTCTGGCTGGTATCAGGGGGGTTTGATAGATGTGATGGCGAATCCGAGTCCTGGCTTGGACGGCATTGGCCGCGATTTCTTGCATTGAAAAGGACATGAATTATCTCCAGGGTCAAAGTAGGAATGTAATACGTTGAAGATTCTATAGTAGTGGAAAGGGATGGCACTCGCTAATATACTTTTTGTTTTTCAGGTTGACTACAGAGCAACCAGACACCGATCAAAATGCCCCACGCGTTGCACTTAAAGGCTGGAATTTCCGGACCTATGCCACCACGATATGATCATAGCAGTTCTCTAGTTATAGGACAAATCTGAACAAGAATTTGGAAGACAGAAATTGGCATCCATAAAATTTCAGGATTTCGTATATGCTACCGAACGAAATCTAACGGTCTACTCCGTGTCTGGATCCACACCCGCACCCGCACCCGCACCCGCATCTCCACCAGACAGCAGCTTTGATCTTAATGGTTAGTTTTTGCTCTGGGGGCCAAAAATTTTCTCCGATGAACCCCACGTGCCGGAATAAGATTATTGGAGATATAGCTCAAGTTAATTCTTCATTATCAAAGATGCATCTTACCACTGTGGAATAGAACTGATTTGCGTCAAGATAAAGTTTTTAGCAATAAACAGAATACAGGAATTGTCTGGGCAAATCAGAGGAAGCTGTTTGTTATAGTTCTGACTTCGACAACTAGTGGCAAGATTTAAAGCCTCAAGTCTTGCATCGCGATATCGTTGAGCTTGATAGGTCAGTAGGATTTTTAAATTGAATGTATATTTATATACGCAGTATTATCTAATTCAACATGATTTAGGTCCTTTGACTGGCAGCCTTTTTGATACAATCAACTCCCGCTTATGGCGCACCCCACCATCCAACAGAATTCACGTGCCATAAGTGAATTGTGCTTATTGTGGTCGGATGACTAATTTGGATATGTTGATCGGCATACATTAATTCCTAATTAGGAAGTTATCTAATGTCCTCTGCTTCCTCCCATCTACCTGTAGCCTATTGAATAGACGTTCCAACCCCTCTATCTGACGTATATTCTCCTCAGTAGTCCCCTCTTGGTGCTGAGCCCATAGAAGCGCTTTTTGAAGGCTATTAATAGCCCCAGCACCAGATGGAAGCTCTACTGGAGGTCCAGATATATATTCATCATCCTGGTCATCGTCATGACCACCCTCACCAGATAAGTCGACGATTATATCAGACAAATCAGGCTCACCGAAGTCATTCTCGTCTGATGGATTTAGGAATTATCCAATGACATGACTGTAGGTGTATTGCTACCTATATCCGCGGGAAACCGGTTAATTAAGCTCTGGTATAGAGGCATTAATTCAAGCGGCTCTGGTGTTGGCATGCTTTGCGTTTGATGTCAGACTTTCTGGTAGTTCAGATAGTCTCTTTGCACACACAAAACGTATGTATGCAGGAAGATAAGATTCAACGTTGTGTATACAGACACGGTCATGAATATAGAGGTCGTGCGTACTACTAGAAGTAGAAGTACCACGATTGTGGAAGAGAACCACCGATCTAGAAGAGAGATCAAAAGGGATGATAAACTTGATTTAATCTAGCTAGGAAACGTAGCATTATTTATATCTAGGAAACATGATAAAAGATCACATAAAGTATCACGAATATCAGAAGTAACCATGGAGTGTTATATAGTCTCCTGCCTAGGTAGGCAATTCAGTGCGAGATCGTTGAGGATCAATCTGATAGATCTTATAGAGAAGATCTAGAAGTAGTGAGGGGTAGTGGGTCTTTCGTCACATGACCCTATAACCTCTACACGTTGACATCTGATTAGTGCTGCGACTAACGATAGTGCTCTTAATAAAGCAGTTCTGTATAGTCTGATCAAGAACTTCATTTCGCTAGGCCTGGGTAAGCCAGCGGAGGGTATAATTAAGGCTCATTTTCTTCGGATTAAGGTCCCGGTCAAGGATATTAATCATCTATATTATCTATTTCCTCCGATAATGGTGTTTTAGATTCTGGATGATTCCTTGATCTAGTGGCTGATAAACTGACGTCGCATTTGCCAGGAAAAATAGCAGCTTGATATTAGACGGTGGCGGCGCATATTCAAGCGCGCATAGATGCGCGCTGAAATTATCTAGCAATAGAAGAACGCGTCGTTGCTTGCTAATATGTTTATAAAACGCGCGAAGCTATTCTCCCATAAAACCACTGCGCATCCAAGCTTTCTTATTCTAACGCTAGGTATATCCAATTGCTTAGATATTTACCCCCCGAAGAGCGCGTGGTGTCTTTGCTGTACTAATTAGCCATAAGAGGCATTCAGTCCGAACCAGTAGCATTCGTCGAAACTAGACCTCGGCATGGTCCGACTCAGGTTCCAGAGGTCGGAACCTCGAACCTGACCCTGAGGTTCTCAGGTTCTAACTTTTGGAGCCTGAATCGGATCGCGACTCTATCAGGTTCGACTCAGGTTCGAACCTGATAGACCCTGAATTGCATAATTCTGCTAAGAATTTCCTCTTTTAGTTGCATAAACCTCTTAGGAATTATACGTAATATACTTTCCGTCACGCGTTATATCAAAGTATTTACGACAAAATCTTATTACGTATCGAGTAATATTCGTTATAATAATGAAATTTCTAGAAAAGAGTTAGTTAATATTAATATTTATAATCATTTCGACCGAAACATATCAAGTTTTTTATATCTTTCTTTATATTAGTACCTAATATACTTAGCATATACTATATAATACACTCCGATACACTATTGGGACATGCATAATTCTTGAAAATTTATGTTTGCACTGTTTGAGGAACCTGAGGTTCGAATCGAACCTCGCAGGTTCGACTCCAAAAGCCGTAGAGTCGGATCGCGGTTCCAAAACCCTAGAATCGGAACCTGAGTCTTGGCGGTTCCGAGTCGAATCGAACCGGGAGAGTCGCGACTCCTGCCGAGGTCTAGTCGAAACTACTATAGTGATCCGAGCCTTATCTCTCTTTTGACCAGCATAACCATCTGTTGATAGGCCACCGTTTGGCATACGGCGCCAGTAAAGCCCAGTTTCATCCATATTATGTATATCCTCCGGTTGATATTAATAGAACTGATTTGCGTCATGATAAAGTTTTTAGCAATAAACATTGATCGCAGATCGCCTGAATAGGTTTTATCTCGTCGTGTATCGAGGTCGGCACCGATGCAGATTCACCGTGGAAGGTATGATAACGGAGGGAATGATGTTGCTTAAACCGAGTAGGCTACCTATCTGAGAAAAGGGGTACTGGGTGTTCAGTATATTCGGGTATTTTCTTCCAATACTCGATAGCTTTAAGCCGAAGTAGCGGGACTGTTATAGAAAGGCCGGCATCCTGGTGTCGTTGCTGCTATTCAAAGAGAGCTTGGTCTAATATAGGCCAATACGATGTCGATGAGCGTATATTTAGACTAGCTGGGCTAGCATCAAGATGCTGGTATTTGGATGAAAGGATCTTTGAGATAGTAGCACGATCAATAAGTCGACCAAACTAGGACCGAAACCACTTAACGCAGGCTCGCTGAGAAGGTGTAGGGTGTGTTTCGGATGCGTAGACGCGTACAGCCTGTTTCTGAGCGTTAGATATGCCCTTCCTAGCTCGCCTTACGGTAGGTATCTTGGCGGAAAAGGCGACTGAACTTTCCATTGTAATTGGTCGGGTTATATGACTAAGCAGGTATAGGAGAGAAAAATTGTGTGCTATAACCGAGTTGTGCCATAAGTGGTCTATATATATGGGAAAAGGGGGGAAAGTGGGTCCGTCCACGAAGAATGTGTGCCATAACCCGATGTGTGCTAATTCCGGGCGTGCCAGAAGCGGGAGTTGACTTTAGTAGCTGCCACGTGGTCTGGCGCTGTGTAGAAAGGGCTGTGCGATGCGTTTACAAGATCAGTGTGAATCTCGACCCCTTTTGCAACCACATCCACCATCATTTTCTGTATTGGAAGTGGAATCGCCTTATCCTCGAGGCAGTACAGGTACGTGGAAGGCACATGTCTCCAAGCCTCGTAGGTAAGCTTGCTGTGAAATGTCTGATAACTATGAGGCGTCAAGGCTTCCACGGCCCTTTTTGCGTCGAGCTCATCATTTCATTGTGGAAAATTTCCAGGGGGGTCGCAGGGGTAACAATCAAACGATCGTCCGAGACTTGGAACCAGGGAAGGTTATCGCCACCGAAGGAACTGATCAAAGATTTACCCCCGGGGACGATAAATGAACAGCAGAAGCAAAGGTGGACCACACCCCCGGTTTGATTCTGGCGTTGGCGAGTTTCCCAGTCTAAGCCACGAATTGACTCACAGTCTAGCAGTCCACCGCACGAGTGCACCACGACCACCACTCTTTATCCGGCATTGGCAGCAATCTCAATCTGGCTCCTGGCCTGACGCACATCTTCCGAGAAATCCGAATGAGGTATTGCGGGGCCAACGTAGGGCAAGTGAACAACATCGGTATTGTAGCCGTCTTTTTCCAGCCTTTCAATGACTTTGTTGAAGCATTGAGGGTTGTGCCACGCGCCAGGGATGAAAAGGACGGTTGTTGAAGAGGCTATGAATCGAGATTGCGGAAGTATCGGGCTAAGAAATGCAAAAGTAAGTAATATGAATTGAGTTAAAACAAATTTGGACACTTTCGAGTTCTTATATATAATATTCCGTTCCTCCCTCCCTCCTTTTTGATGAAGCTAGAGAGGTGTAGTCATACTCGCGTGGGTCTAATCTACTAGTACAAAGCTGGCAGAAATGAATGCCGATACCTGGCTCAAAACACGCCAGAGCTGATGAGGAATAACAGATAAGCGAAAAAAAAAGGCCCACTTTTAATAGAGAGCGCGCTTTTCGACTCTGAATTGGACTGTGGTGTCCGACCGATAGTTGCAAAACCACTCAACACGTCTGAAGGTTGCCTCCAATACCCGCCCGCACTTGCAGCCGCATATATGCCCAAACGCGTATCCAGCACCAACACCAACCACAAAATCCACATTTCCCGGCGCCTTACCCATGAGTCTAAACCATGGAACGATGGATTCGCAACCAAATCGTACTGCATTTGCGGCCGCGCCCGCACCTCGATCAAAAGTGGTGCATCTGTACCCCATACCTGAAACAACCATTTGCGGCTCCCTAGTCTAAGAATTGCCATAATATAAAACACAGAGCAACACATAAAATGAGCTGGAATCAACGCAGCACTACCGACGTGCGCCAAGGTCCAGCAATGAGCAATAATTCCCACGATTTCATACCCGATCTCACCGGGAAAGTCGCCATCGTAACGGGTGGGCACACAGGACTGTACGCAACCTCCCTAGCTCGATTGATTATTCCCTTACCGTGCCACTGACGAATTTGACTCTCTGATAGTGGCTTCGGCACCAGCATTGAGCTTGCGAAATATGGCGCCCGGGTCTATATTGCCAGTCGATCGGCTACGAAATTCAACGATGCGAAGAGGATTATTCTTTCTGAATTCCCTAAGGCAGATGTACGGTTTCTGACGTTGGACTTGACCAATTTGGATAGTGTACAGGCGGCGGCAGAGAAGTTCACCGAGTGAGTTTTTTATGAGCGACGTTTGGTGTGTGTGAGGGTTGGCACTGATAATGTGTGGCAAAGGCAGGAATCAAGTCTACATTTACTTTTGAATAATGCTGGCGTGCGTAGGACTCCTCCGCGCCTTAGACATTGCTCACTCGTTCCAGGTTATGTGCGTTCCGTACGAGGAGACGGTGGATGGGTTTGAGATGCAGATAGGGGTAAGTACAGCAATATCTGATGATTTTGGGTGATTTTGTTGGGGCTATTAGCTAAGAGCAATGAGGTGAACTATATTGGCCACTTCCTTTTCACCAAGCTACTCATCCCGGTACTCCAGAAGACAGCAGACGTAGGCGGAAAGGGAAGCGTGCGTATCGTGAACGTGTCTAGCGACGGGCACGCCAAACTCGCACCCAAGGAGGGTATAATATTCACAGATATGAACCTAGAGAATGGGTTCTCTGTCTGGGCCCGATACGGCCACTCCAAGCTTGCCAACGTACTGCATGCGAAAGAGCTGGCCAAGAGGTACCCAAACATTCTTGCGATATCTTTGCACCCGGGGACGGTCAAGACGTATGTTGCTGTTTCCTGTCTCACAATTTGAAGCACAGATCTGACGATCCTTAGGAATCTATCTGCTGGGCCGATATCCTCAACTCCGTTATATCGGTTGATAAAGCCGCTAGTCGAGCTAGGTGCGCCTGGGCCACGAAAGGGTGCAGCAAACATCATCTTTGCCTGTGTGTCACCGAAGCTACGACTGGAGAACGACAATGGAGCATATTTGCTGCCGGTTGGAAAGTTGTCGGCATGCAGTAAAGCGGGATCGGATCCAAAGATGGCGGAGAATCTCTGGGAGTGGACGATGGAGGCTCTCAAAAGTCGAGGGTATGAATAAACGGCATCATGCACAAATCTCATTCACCGTCGATCCGTAACCACTGTCGCCAGAAATAGAAAGTTGGTTGTCATCTCCACCAAGCCTTTTTAGCAGCCGTAGAAAGCTCCACCCTTGCCGCATAAGAGTCAATTCCTCACCTTCGATGGCTGTCAATATCGTTCCCGCTTTGCTGATGAAGAAAGCGCAGGCATTTTGGTCCTTCGACGCAGCGGCGCCGGTAAAGGCAGCCCAGGTGAACACCTCCGGAGCGTTCCGAATCCAGTATAATGGCTCAATGTGCGACATGTGTTTAAGAAGCTGTTGAAGTTCATGATCCTCGGTCACGTTTGGAGCTTGCTGGGGTTGCGATTGTCGTCGAAGAATTTTCCAGAACAATTGACAACTGATCTGACAGCACACATTAAGCCTCTTTAGCGGGCTAAGATGGTGGTTGCCATCGACTGTGTCAGTCCAGTTACCCATCCTTGCAAAGGAGAGCGCACGCTCAACCTCAGTAGAAATACTACAGCGGTCGGCGTGGACCAGATGATCTAGTCGTGACATGGCTTCGTAGACGTCCAATATTGATTCTGTGATCTTTTTCTCGAAGATGTCCCCATTGCCAAAGGTGGCCCTCGATACTACATTTCGCAGGATAGTGTTGGGCCGAACTGATTCAGAGGACAAGCAGTCCCAAATAGGAAGCACGTCATAGATGCAGGCAAACGAGATCATAGCGCTATATGAATAGTTAACAGAGCAATCGGCTCGGGGATGAACAATGGCCACGTACAGCTTCACAATGGCAATGAGAGGTCCGATGTCGGCTCGGAGGGACTGAGGCGCTGCAAGGAGCATCTTCACCAAGCCTTTCTGGTGCGCCACTGCGGAGTCTCGGTCAAGGGCAACCATCTAGAAGCCGTTAGCGTCATTAATTTTGTATGCATTTGTATACCCACATTATAATATAGTAAGGGTACCACCGTTCCTATCGTTCCATAATTGAGGACTGGCTCTGTTTGTGCTAATTGTTCGTTGATCAATCGGATAGCCCAGGTCTGATGATACAGGGTTCGTGCGATACTCTTCTGGCCCCGGAGCATGTCAATTGATGCGGATGCGCTGAACAGTGTAGCATGGAACAGACAGGGATCGGACATGGCGTGTTGTATCCATTGCGAACGCAGATGATGTGCCAGACTGTAATCAACCACAGTATCCGAGGGCAACGCTATAGACGTGAGAACTTTCGGGTGGTCAGTGGTTAGCGTATTTAGATGGATTTCTGCGACATGACCCACAGAATTTTATTAATTGCGGCATGTAGGAGCGATACCTAATCGGAGGTTCGAATGCCACCCCCACTTCTGGCTGTGCTAATGAAGCGAATTCTATCCTAGGCCGGACCACATTGATGACTGCTTCAGTATCAGCAGAGACAGTGCTTGGAGACTCCGGGCTCGCCGCTCGGTATGTACAATTGCTTCCTAGTCTAAAGGTAATCCTCGTTAGTCACAATTTGCGGGGTCCAATCATAGTCCCCTCGAACGCTTCACCCAAGTATTTTGGGTATGCTCTATTTACCTTAAACAGCGGGAGCATTTTGGAATCATGCGATCACATCTACGTTTATGCATTTTACACCGTGTACATGCGTTAGGACATGCCATATCCTTGGTTGGCCTCGGTTCGGAAGGCTCAGTCAGAGGGCCCGGTGGTGAAGCTGTTCGGTATTCGCATGGCCGGTCTAGTCTGGACAAGATACTGAGTTTAGTCACCGTTGTTTCCCCCGCTGGTCATTCAGTATTGACGTGTTGGTAGGGGTCAAACGTACTTCTTACATCGAGAACAGGTTGGAAGCCGCTTATCGCATTGTCGTTTGCCCGACTTGCAATTAATGCAGGCTAGCGTAGCTTTGCCCTGTTCTTGTTCTCCTGCATGTTCTCGGTGTGATGACGACATGATTTTGACTATGATTCCAAAAGACCCTGGTCAGAAAGAGGTGGAAACGCTTATTCCCGGAGGAAACCCTTGAGGATCAACGCCAAGGCCGTCGGTCACATGATTCTGCTCCTGATTGCCCCTTATCGTCTCTCAACGATTAGGTCTACTAGAGCTATAGGCGCGGAACTACGGGAGGATACCCAGTTTTATGCGACGCTCACCGGCCGGATATACCGGGAGCAGGTCTCAGCTCAATGAGCTAAGCTCACTTTCAACATTTACTAGGCCCCTACCTAATTCTTGGTAACGGGATCGGTCTTAAGCAGTTTTAGTGTTTTTTTTTAATTCCGAGAAAAGTCACATATACTGCCACTATGTCTGACACATCTAGCTAACTAATTAACTCTGTGCAGCTTGATCGGAGATTACCCGGGTATACCGGGCGTACTTCAAATTAGACTGGAACAGCCATCCCGTCAGCCCTGACGTCACTCCCAGCTTCAAGGACCTGTCGAGGGCCTCTATCATGGAATGCCCGTATAATCTGCCCTCGTCCAAAAATTTCTCTATCCCACCCACGAACCAGCTCAACCACATGGCCCCGGCGACGCAATTCCTTCAAAGCTGAAGAATCTATACCCTCTTCCACATAAACCGTCCTTTCTTTTGCTTTGTTCATATGCTTATGCCCCATCGACCCAATACAAACTCTCGGCGCATCAAGTGCTTGCTGCGGATTCATCCCGAATAAAAGCATATTCATCAGGAGCTGCACATGCCCCTGTGGCTGCATAAAACCACCCATAATCCCGAACACGGTATTCAAGGATCCATCCTCCGGATTTGTAGCCATGGCGGGGATAAGCGTGTGGTAGGGTCTCTTGCCCGGTGCAAGTGCATTCGGATGGCCCGGAGACAAGGAGAAATTGGCACCGCGACTTTGTAGCGTGAAGCCACACCCACGCGGGATGATTCCGACTCCGAAGCCGTGGTAATTACTGTTTACAACGGAGGCGGCATTGCCATTGTTATCAACGACGGCGAAGTATACAGTGTCGCATGAGTTCAAGGCGGGGCTGCCATGCATGATAATGCTCGAGGCTGTGGTTGAGTTGAAGAGACCCGCCCTCTCAGCTATGTATGAATTTGATAATAGATCCGGAGTATCTGAGTGGGAAGGATCTGCAATCCACCAGGAGGCGTCAGCAAAGGAAATGCGGAAGACTTCAATCAGAGCGTGTATGTAGTCGGCGGAGTTGTGCCCCAGACTGGCCAAGGGAGGGATTTTCTTGGACCGTTCCAACTCCTCGAATAATTTGAGTGCCACGAGTGCAACGAGACCCTGACCATTTGGCGGGTGCTCCCAGATATCGACCGCTTTGTTAAATCGAACAGAAAGTGGACTGGTTGCTGTGCTTCCCATGTCTGCATGATAGGATAGGTCAGCGTGAGAGACATCCACCACGCTCCCTTACCGCTTCCACAATGGCATCTGCGATATATCCTCGATAGAACCCATTCTTTCCTTCCACGGCGAGCGTACGGAAGGTTTGCGTAAGGCCGGGGTTGGTCATGGTTTCGCCAGCTACCGGCGCACGAACCGCCTCATCCGGACTGGAGGTTATCTTAAGCATCTCGCGGTAATTCGGAGAAGCCTCTTTAAGCGATTGTTCATTTTCTTGCCACTGGAGATAATCAGCATCTATCTAGATACGAGTCAATCACAGCACTTACCAAACGCGCCGATACTTCCGAAACGGGAAACCCATCATCGGCAAGGGAAATTGCAGGCTTCAAGATATGTTCAAGAGACAGATTCCCACTCCCAAATCTTTCGATAGTATCCACCCATGCACCAGCTGCACCCGGCGTTGTGATTGCCAGAACACTATTGAGTGGAATGTTCCCAGGCTCATGGTCTGGAATGGCCAGCCGCCTTCGAGCTGTCTCAAGAGTCAGACTCATTGGAGCACGTCCCGACCCATTTAGCCCATGCACCTTCCTCGTTGCACTATCATAGAAGAGACAAAACATATCACCGCCGATACCAGTTGATCCAGGCTCAGTCACATTCAGTGCGGCGGCTAGAAGCAGCCATGTCAAAATATACCAATTTTCGACCGCCGGGGATGCAACATACCTACTGCGACAGCAGCATCCTTCAACTGTCAGCGCATTTGCCTACTAAAGCGATATAGAGCACCTACTGCTGCGTTTCCACCATTTGATAACATGATCTGACCAGCTCTTGCGGCGAGGGGTTGTGGACATGCTACCATGCCGGTAGTGCTGTATATGGCACTCCGGCGGCCAAGGAATGGGGTGAATGGATTCCGTTGAAAGGGGAAGGTCATTTTCACCGCGGCGAAAAAATTGGTGAGATTGAAGAAGAGGATGTTCTGAATACAGTTGACCCTCCTGACAGTGATTTATCTTCGTATGGCATACTGCGAGTCTGAAATATTGTAGGCTCTACGAAAGTTGGCTAATGACGGGGTTGTCGGAGTTGACTCGCTCCTCCCCGGCAGCTAGGACCAATCTGCACTCACGTCATGTGGGGAAATGAAAGAGAATTGACACAGCCATATATAGTGATGTGTTATTTCAATTGTGCTACCCTATCAAGAATACCACGTTCAAGATTGAAATATAATTACCTCGCTTCATCGAATCCATGCTCCAAGACTAAGTGCAAGAGCCTCTTCTTTAGCCTACGGTGTCTTAACTACAGAACGCTTTGACTAGTAAGAATCCTAGCATAGCGAGCCAACCCATAACTTTCTTGGGGGGATTGGAGGGGGGGTTTTCTATGACCCTTAAGGTAAATCTCATTCAAACAAGTTCGACCAATCTTCAATGCTGCGGCCAAATATAAACGATATCTCTCTACTGATATCCGTAAGGCGGATCAAAGCGCAACTTGTACTTTTCATGGTGAAAAAGCCAGAAAAGGTCAACTAGAGGTCTGATGGAGATACCAGCTGATCTCTACAGTTCCTGAGAGGACCTGTAGAGCCGGCGGCACCAGTTGGATAAATGCAGAATCAAGACAGAGGTCGAGCTGTCAAGGGCTGGGCCTGAGACTGACTCTGGGCAAAATATGTAATCCGGACACCGTGGGTAGAGGACCTAGGTATGACCGATAGGCCAGTCCTAATTCATCACATATTCAATTTAGCGACTCTTGTGGAATCAACGGCGATTCGCTTGGGGTACAGCCATACCGGAAGAGAGTGTGGGGGTGCCGAAAGGGAGGTTAGACCGAAGGGCAAAGATAATGTATCCACACCCGCACCCGCACCCGCACCCGCACAGTGGAGCCCCGTTTCCTTGGCCTCAATATTGTGCACGTGACATTGAACATTATTTCAGCACGTGAGCTCAGCCCTAAGAAAGTAATTAAATTAGAGAGGCAGGTGCGAGAATACCCTAGGAATTCTGCAGGTCCATGATGGCCCTACCACCAATAGGTGACATGTACCAATAGCCAGCATCCATGATCCCACATTACCATTCGGAAGACCCACTGCTTGTTTCAGGATTGATAGTTAACATTATGAGAGCTATCATACATCCAATAGCATCCAGTCACTATACGCGTACTTCTGTCCCCAAAGTAGTTTAAGTACAATTTTCCCGCAAGTATAGGCTTGCTCAGCGCACAAGCCCAAAAATTAGTATGTAACTGCGGAGAAGCATACGTGCTGCTGCTTTTACTTCGCTTTCTCATAGTCCTGCCAACCCTCGCCCACAAATTCCAAATTGCGTTTCTTACTGTTCCAACAGGGGAAGAACCTCCAAGCACCCGAATGTCGTTTTCCAAAGTAGACGCGAATCAGGAAGGGGAGGAAAAACGGGAATGGAGGCCACTTAGCATGTGCGCCTCCCTCGAAATCATGGTCGTTCGTGCCCAACGCAAGTGGGAGGATTATGTGCTGTGGAGTAGAAAAGGAAAAATCCATCCCCGTTTTTGATCAGCGATTTTGTTCATAACTCTATATGGGATTCGAACAATGTTCAAGCGGGGAAAAACTTACCTTATCCCACTTTGACATGCCCTCTTTAATCAAAGTTGACTCAAATTTGTCCCACACGCTCTTTAGCCGCGCGCCTCCGAATTTCTCTCCAATCTGAAGCAGCTGAATAGGCTCATCCCGGAGATGCAAAAGCAATGGATTGGCAAAACCCTGTATAATTCTGCGGAGTTCAGTCCCGTCATATTCTCTCACCGTCACTCTCTGGATGTACTGGGAAAATTCATCCACCCCATCTAGGAACGCGTTGTGCTGCTCCTCACTCTTAGACATTATTCCCTTTGTGCCCGTGAAGGTGTCCAGCATGGGGAACAGAATTTCATCTTCACCTGCGTGGTGGGCGTGAAGCTCATCAACCCAGGTCTTGCAGAAGAAAAGAAAATCTTGGATATCCTGAGAGTTTTGAACACCAGTGGCTTGGAGATAGATTGCGTTTAGGTGGCGCAGTGTCAAATTATGGGCGAGGGTCATAGAGGTGAAGACGAAAACGGAACCTGCATCAGCCTTTGGCTATTAAAGGAAAAACAGACAGAGTCAGCCCTCGCAAAGGGACATGAAAAGTTGAAGAGAAAGGAAAAACTAAAGGAAGGTATGAGACTCCACCTACGTGGTTATTTGGCAGCGCTGTGGAAAGAAGCGGAAAGGGCTCATCGGCCCATGGAGCACCCGCCATTACTCGGCGACACTGGGTATAAGGTGAGTGAATGTAGATTGTATTTGATCGTGTATTCGGGTTGATATTTATATTTAACCAGTGACCTCGGTTATAAGAACAGCATGGCCTGGTTTCTTATACTATTGCCGTCGTTCATGGATCTAGGTTCCCCGATTGGGATTAGTAGGGACGAGGCTGAACCCTAGCTTCGATTCATAATAATTCACGATTAAGATTTATTTTTAGATTAAGATGATGCTCGCTTCTTAGGTGCGCTATGTTTTGGCACCTCGTTGGATGCGCGGCTTTGATGGGAGAGACTCAACCCCGAACCCTTGAGAGACCGCCGCTAGGAATTTCTTAATGACTTTAGCTCACTTTTCGTAGAACGGCACACTAAAGCTACAAATTACGTAATATTGTAAATAGTGTATAGGAGTTGTTACTTATTGGAATAAACGAATGGTCTCCACTGTTTTCCGCACCCACACCCGCAGCCGCACCTGGTCACCGGGCATCGGTATCGGAAGAAAGAAGCGAGCTTAAATAAAATATGGATCAGTTACTAGTCTCATGTCTCTAGGCTCGCAGATACATACTATCGTTACTGTCAGGAAATTTATATTTAAATACATTATACTTCACTCCTCATCTTATCTTTTTACTTCACTTTCTATTCTTTCGTACCTATACCTAGATCGATACACGAGCAGTCAGCATGTGTCGGCACGAGCTTAAAGAATAAAGATAGTAATTCTTACAGATCACTATAGTGGGGGGTAGGCTCAAGCGGAATCAATATTGGATACACAGGCTGAGTAATTGAAGAAGAAAGAGTGAATGCCACAGAAATGTTCAAATATCCCTTGATAACCAATGTACATTTTGTTACGACCCCGTGGTGCTAAGTATACATAATTACTGGCAGATTGGGATTCGGATCAGTTGATGTCTTTTCATTTTGGATTAGAGCCCTAACCCGGACCCGGGATCCAGAATTACTGAGACAATATCCCCATTTAATACTAGGATATATTTTGATTGTGGTATCTTCTGCTTATCAGAGGATGTTTCGTGCTGCAATGGGGCCGGCCAAAAAGGATATTAGGGTGATCATTGACGATGGAAAAGGCATGATAGGATGAGAAGGATCAATGAACTGTATAGATTAGACAGAGGTATAGAATATATTGAGTTTCCTGTGTAGATATGGCCATCCACTTCAGCCACACCCACCCACCCACATGCTTATACTAATCTTCAATATTTTTGCAGTCTAAGGCTTCAGTACCACATGACTTCCCCATCCGTTCAGCTTCCCAGCCACCTCCAATGCGTCGTCAATCCGCTCAAGTCCGAATTCCTCAGTCTGAGTGACTCCAGCTTTTTCGGCGAGAGGAAGTAACCCGAACTCTACCATTTGGATCAGCTGCTTCACATGACGGCGATCGTACATAAACCGGCCCTGGATCCGAATACTCTTGAACATAATTTCGAGGTAAGGGAAGTCAATATTGCCAGCATTTCCGCCCATAACAATGCATCGTCCAAACGCGCGCAATGACCGAATGCCAGACGCCATCAGAGAGGAACCCTTAGCTGCAGGCGGCGAGAGATCGAGGTACACATCAGCTCCATCCGGCTTGCTAGCCGCGGCACGGAACAACTCTGTATCAGAGGCACCGTCACCAGTGAGCTGGACTGTCTTTAAGCGGGTTGTGCCATGGATTGATTCGAGGTTCTCCAGTGCAGCCTTGTTTCGCCCGGCAGCGATGACGATCGCGCCCATTGCTAGCGCTATGTTCACAGCAGCACCACCGTACCGGCCTGTTGCGGGGCCGATGATGACAATCTCGCCGGGCTTTACGTCAACCTCGGATAGACCACCGAATGGAACCAAGCACACAGGCAGGAGACAGAGGTCATTGATGTTGTAACCAAACTTTCCAAGAAGGAGCTCCTCATTCAGAGGGTAAAGGTTCTCCAGCGGAAACCGCGCGTACTCAGCATATGTCGCGTTGCGCCAGACTCCGTCCATGAGCTTCTGCGCCGCGGGGTAACCACCACCGTGGATGCCATAGAGGATAGAGACAGAGGGGTTGTCTCGTGCTCGGATAGTGATGTCGCAGAAAACAAGCTGGCCTGGCTTGAGAGCCACGGAGTCCGGGCCGACTTCGTGGATCCGCGCGATTGCGGTGTTTCCCGGTGTCATCGGCACTGTCAGTGGGTAGGGGCGCTTGTTGCTTATCACATCGCCCATATAAGGGACAATGTCAGCAGCAAGAATGCGAACAATGGCATCACCAGTCGATGCGACGAGGCGTGGCACGTCTTCCAGAACGAGGGGCTTGTCCCGGGCGTGAAGCACCAGGGCTTTGTGAGTCGACATTTTGGACAGGAGAGATTTTTTTATTTCGACTTCAATTCTCTCGCTTGTTCACGAGTATGAAAATGCCTTGGTTCCAATTCCAGTCATGCTGTGAACGTTATATACTTCTATTCTACAGCTGGGGAATTATATCCGTAAACTCCGATTGCGTGCCACATCCTCGTCCGGGTCAGAGCTATTATAGACCCAAACCGCGTTATATCCGGTCTATACATTTCCCAGTGGTTATGATTAATGATAAAGATAAGATAAAGGAAAATTAAATGTTCAACACCCTAACAAAGGGATGTAGATTCTTTGGCTCGTTGAAACTCAGTGCCGAATCCGCACCCGCATTATCATCCGCACCGTATCACCCCACTTACCTCACCTGAGACATTAATTAAATTATGGATGAACCGTAATTTCATCCCAAAGTAGAGTCGAAGAAAGTTGCAAAATCTGGCTCGGTTCTGTCGCCGCTGAAAGTCAGGTTCAAAGACATGACGCTTGGAGCGCGACCGATGTCTCCCGCCGGCAGAGTATCATTAACTCAATGGAGTAAATGGAGTAGGCCAGAACTACTGCTCCTAAGAGCTAAAGTATAACGTAGCTTGAGATCCGTTGGGTCAATTCTACGCTTTTTGCCATCCACTGCGAAGGGTTTCCAAGGTTACTAAAATAGCCACTTAGTTACTTTCACTTACCTAAACCTGCCTATGTAAAGTCTCTTCCGCTCTACAGCATGCAGTCATTGTCGGTGCTGGTGTTTTGGAATGACTCTCGTGTAATGCCTAGACTATCTTGGGATTTTTCACGCTTTGTTGCAATGACAGTCTTGGAAATGACAAAATGCCCCACCACCGAGTGCCGAGCCGTTGGAATATTGAGAGTGTTAGTGTTGATGGATTTTCATGAACGACAGCCCGGAGACGTGCCTGTGGGCGCTGGTATGCATTCATACTCTGTTCTCAAGATAGTATAAAATACGGCATTGAGAAATATCTTCAGTTGTTTCATATTTTAGACGGTGTTATAATGAGTTCCGGGCTCTGTCAAAAATGACCAAATTCCCCTTGTAATCGAATCTCGAGTAGGCCGTTCGAAACAATCTCATCCTACCTCTCAACTAGTTCATCCACCGACCAATCAACAGACATATATCTCCCGTTCATGAGTGCTGCTTGCTCAACCCGTGACGAGAATTATCTTTCCCTTTTGGCTGAGGAGTTCTAATGAGGGGTTGACTGACGGATAAACATCGTAGTGTAAATCCCGAGTGAATTGGTCGGCCTTGGCGAAGTGGTCGATAGGCAGGCTAGAGAAATCCATGGTAGTTTTTACCGATTTTCTTTTCGTCTTCAGCAAATCCTATAGCTTTAAGGTCATCTTCACGCGGCAGTCGCACTAGTTTTATACACTCCAAAAAAGCGCGTTGAAAAGGATTAAGTCAAAGACTCCACCATGGCCGGTGCACAACCTACCGTGTTGCCCTTATCTCCTTTCAACTTTTCGTAATTACGGGCCGCTGAAATTTGGAGGTAGACGGGTTCGAACCGAACACGCCCTGACGATCCGTTAATGTCTTTTTCATGCAGCTATTCAGGATCGCCGGCCGCACGTCCGCACCCGCAGACAAACCTTACTCTCCCTACAGCTGGCCGCCCAAGGGATATATCAATAATAGAAGAATATTTGGTCATGAGTCATAACGCTACCTAAGTTCCTATCAGTCGAAGGCCTGGCTTGAAAAATCTTGCTGGGTACGGAGATGGAAATACCGCCGGATTTAAGAAATTAACGGCAATTAATACGTAAACTGGCCGTGACAGGACGGGTCGGTCATATAAAAAACCAGATGGCTTGCCACGCCGGGCCACAGTGGCGATCTCAGGTGGTTCCCAATTCAAGCCAACCATCATTGTTTACTTCGAAGCAAAATGTCTGAAACAAACATCGTCCTTATCACTGGCGCCAACCGAGGTATTGGCTACGGAGTCGCCCGAAACCTCGCAAAGCAGCACGTCGACTATCTTGTCATCATGGGCAGTCGAGACTTATCTAAAGGGCAAGAAGCGGTCTCTGCTCTCAATGCTGAGGGGATCTCCTCAGTCACGAGCGTCGAGATCGATGTGACCTCCGACGAATCGGTTGCCGCCGCTAAATTCTACATCGAAGAGAAATTTGGACGTCTCGACGTGCTAATTAATAATGCCGGAATTGCCCTCGACGTCAAAGATCGCGGAAAGTACCCACTGCGCGAGATGATGAAGCGGACATATGAAGTGAATGTTTTCGGTGCAGCAGCGGTGACGGAGGCGTTCATACCGTTACTTGAGAAGTCAAGGAACCCGAGAATTGTGTTTACGTCTTCGTCAGTCGGGTCCCTGGGACGAACCTCTGATCTGACGAATCCGTGGGCTACTGCGCAGATTCCGGCGTATTCCACCAGCAAGGCGGCGTTGAACATGACTATGGTATATTATGCAAACATTTTGCGTGAGAAGGGGTTCAAAGTCAATGCATCGTGCCCAGGACATATTAGGACGGACTTGAATAACCATCGTGGGACCGGAACCCTTGACGAAGGTGCTGTTAATTTGATTCGTTTGGCAACGCTTCCGAAAGATGGAGAGTCAGGCACGTTTTCGACGGCCCAAGGGCCTCAGTTGTGGTAGGCAGGCTTAACAAGAGTCCGCGCTTGCAGGTAGTTATTATTTTGATTTCTATCCCGAACTAGGTAGAAGACGTCCATAGTAATCAACAGCTTTGGAAAGATTATCTCAGAATTCTGTGAACCACCAGCTTAAATTGACAGTCACAAACATTACGAGATATAATCTAATCTCAGTAGGGAGCTGTCGCTTCACCTACAACAGCCGGCCTGTCACTGTTGCTATTACCCGTGAATGCTTCTGCAGTTTTTAGGAACTCCTCTTCCGCCTGTGCGAGCACCTCGGACTCGCTATATCCTGGAAACGGCATGTTCCCTGAAACAACCAGCAGGATTCTTTCTGCTTCCGCTTGTGTAGACGGTCCTTCATTAGCCCTCCAAGCAACGTGTGTGTCCGGCCTCACGAGGACAATATTGCGCTCCCATATCTTTTGAACATGGGATTCCCCTCTGAGAACCACATATTTCAATGGAAAGCCCCTTTCTTTCGCCACGTCTGTAAGGATTTTGATACTGTCGTCCTCATTCTCCCCGGTGAAATGGAACAAGGTCCACTCCACTCCAAGCAAGTCGTAACTGCTGGTAATTCCATCTTTCAGGAACACATGGGGCGCTCTACAGCCAGGCCGAGTGCTTGGAGTATAGCTCTTTACATCCCAAGGACCAGGCGATGTACCGTCAGGATAGATAAAGGGCGAATAATCGTACCTGAGATCAAGTTCAATCCCTCGATCCAATGTTTCCGGCCCAGATGTAGTAATATAGCTCTTGATTAGGGCCACCGCATGGTTTAGGTCGGCTGCGGATGAACTGCTTGTCAAGCTGTCGTGTAATTGGTTGTACAAGTCTCCAAGAATGACGTGCTCGAGAACGTGGCGGTGGGATCGCTGAAGCGCTCGAATCATCATCGGGCGTCGTTCATCGCTGTATGCCTTGAGCAGTGCTTCGCCTCCGTAGCCTTTGAGAATCGAAGCGAGTCGCCAACCAAGGTCAATTGCGTCTACAACTCCGCTGTTCATTCCGTAGCCGCCGTGGGGTGGGTTTCTATGTGCTGCGGCATGTCAGTCAAATTTTTATACCGCACAGTGAAAGCAGAGTACATAAGGGAGTGAGGAAGTTTACCTGCGTCGCCGGCAAGAAGCACGCGTCTATTCTCTGTGCAATAGCTTTCAGCAATACTGAAGCTCGGCTGCCACTCGCTATGAACAAGAATTTCGTCGATCTTGATATGCCACTTTCCAAGGCACCCTCCTAGCATTTTGTAGACAATTTCCTTTGGGTCGATAGGCTCGGTGATACCATCAGGGAGAGGATAGTGTGCTGTAAAGGTATCCTTCTCGTCCTGGTCAATGAGAAACCCGGTGCCGACGGGAAATGCATGCCAGAAACGTCCGAACTGCAGCCTCTGAGCTAGTTCCGCGGATCGGAAGTGAACCAGGTAGAACTTTACGGGACTATTCAAAACCAGAGAGATTATTAGCAGTTGCCAAGGGGAAGGAAGGACTCCGCGTGGAAATGAACGTACATTTGACCTCCAAGAAGCTTGATCCCGGCATTATTTCGAACTTTGCTGCTACCACCGTCACAGCCCACGAGATAACGAGCTCGGACTGTATGCGTTGCGCGATTACCTTCGATGAACGTAGCCGTCACTCCGTCGTCTGTTTCAACATGATTCGTGTACGTCCAGCCGCTCTGAAACGTCACATTTGCACACCTGCAAATGATATCCTTAATCCAAGCCTCGAAAATGATCTGGGAGCACCGTTGGCCCGGCTCGGCGGGTTGTGTCCCGTCATTATGGGTCTTTATATGCTCACGTTGTTCGATGACAGACGGGATTTTCTATTTTCAGTCGGCCAGTTAGACTCAAGGTCCCAAAATTGTCAGGTGGATACCAGATGTCATATAAACATACCCAGTTGGCAAGTAAGCGTCCCTCGCTCGACAAACTCGTAATGAAAATTGAATCAAAGTTTGCGTCCAAACCCACGGCGTTACCCTGCGCCCTATAGTCATCTGCCAGTCCTAGCACCCTGAGGATCTCCATGCTCCGACAGTTCGTTAGATCCATTTTCGGCCATTTCGTGGTTTTGATATTTCGCTCTGCGATCAAGCATGCGATACCCAGACGATCGAGTTGGTATGCCAGTAGCATACCGACTGGGCCGGCGCCCACAATAAGAACATCCGTGTCATACTGCGCAGGCTGATGCATAATGACGATTACGTTTGGGTTGTGAGAATTGGGGTTTCAAGAAGAGGCCAGGTGTATTATTGATGGAGTTGGCTGTCCTTTTATGTCTGGCGGGCTCTTAAAAGGATCTATAATCCATCGAGCATTGATGTTGTTCCTTAACAAATTTATCTGCGGGGAGCAACTAATATCATGCTGCATCTGACGTCAGCCTCTCACGGGCCATATGAAACCGTAATATTGATTTAGAGATACGGGCATGTCCTATTCGCGGTATGGAAGGGGGTTTCTCTCGGATCCTGAACTCACTTGGTGCGGGTGCGGGTGCGGCGGTGAATATTACTCAGCTGTCTATGTCTATCTAGCCCTGTAACTAGCTGGAGGTATGGATCTGACTCTGGCTCGTGGCTGTATATCTTTTACTACTCTACTTGAACCCGATATAGTTACTCACCTCCCCAGAGAGGTGCCAAAGCGGACACGGACTAGAAGGCCAACGTCTGCAGGTGCAAGAGCGGGTGCAAAGGCAATTTACCGAACATGATGGCTTTCTTAACTCTATGTTACATAGAGAATTCCCAATTGGAGCACTATCTAGACTTATCTAGATGGTGCAACCGTTGGAATTTCGAGTACAACATGCCAGACGACGTCGTCCAGACTCTTTCATCCAAAATTGGATGGAGGACGAATCAAGTTCTGGATTACCAGCACTTTCTGTGTGTGTTAATCTAACATTATCGCTCGCATCTAAATCTGTATTTTCAGGATTCTCTTATATTTATAATTTTGTTAATGAACTCATTCGCCGTCATTGAGACTTTACCGCCACCGGAATAGCATTGCTTTTTGCTCCAACGTTAGTAACAGTTGCCATACGGTGGAATCTCTTTTGTGGAAATTCAAACAGGCCCATCGCTCAGTATTCTAAGTCTAGTGTCGATTTTCCAACGTATTCGTACTAACTGAAATACATCAGTAAATCAAAGCAACACCAACACTAGTCGGTACGGGGATAGAGGTGTTTCGTAAGTGCTTCATGGATGAACCTATTTATAAGTCGTGCGTGTTTGAAGAGTCGGATGACTACCGCGTACAGTATCCACTCCCTAAAAGCCTCTGGTGTTGGAAGTTACCAGTCAAATCATACGGCCTAGCAGGTCTAGGCGTAGTGGCACTCTGACCTGAAAGGATGCATGCTATGGAATATCCCTATCCTTCCAAGTGCGCTTCCCAAATCAGCATTGCATACACAAATGAGCCACGTGCCTGGAAAGACCAAGAATAGACAGGGAGCTAGGTTTTATAATAAATTCTGTGGAGTGGTTTAGCCAGAGGAAGAAGATTCTTCTCAGAATGGGGGATAGCAAGGTGTGGTGTTGACAGCAGCAATATTTTGGCGAATAGCTTCCCTAAAAACCAATTGTCTATTGGTGGCTTATCTTTATTATTAATAATAGCGCCGTGTATATGGCATGGCACCTTGCAATACACCCAAAAGACAAAATGAAAGGAGAGCGAGAAAGAATTCACTCAAGCATAGCGTAGAGGCAATCTTGACATCGCAAGGCTAGAAATCGTTATAGCTGTGTCATGCGGTTTCTCAGCCATGTGTAATATGATAGCACACCTTGAATACATGATGGACCATTGACCAAGGACATGAAAATAGGCCCCTGGCGATAGTAGAACCAGGCGCGTTGGTGGACTCCTTCTGACGCAGACGCCCCAGTAAAACAAAGCCAGGAGAATACGAATGGGCTAGCCTCCAGCCACACGGCATCGTCTGTGTCTCGCAGGATCACTCTCAACTCTTCAAGTAACTTGCATTGTACTAGTATCGTATGCGGACTCCGATCGCTGTCATCAAGGATTGTGAAGAATAAAATTGTAGTGAGATACACGGCGCGATCGACGGGAGTTTGATCATCTTTTGAGGGTATAGAGAATGTTGAGAACTCGGTTGAATGTAGCTCTTTCTCGTAATCGTCTCGGTCTGAATGCCATCGATCGTGAATTGAAGTGATAAATGCCCCATGGTGCCGGCCATGTGATATTGTGCTGAAGGACCACATGGCGTCGTATATATCGTGGATAGCATCTTGTACAAGTTTAGAGAGCCGGCCATCATTGTGTGCTCTAATAACTTCGGATACGAGCTTAGAGATATATTGTATTGGCGGCCGAAGAGGCCAGTCTGTCCATGTGAGAGTGGAAAGCTCGAGATAGGGATGATCGAAAACGATGGTGAAAACCAAGGCACTTCTAGAAAATTGAAAGCATCCACGATTAATTCAAACGCACGGGATTTCTGGGGCTGTTGGGGGCGTACAGGGTTATAAGGCCGCCTAGTAGGCCACTCAATCTCAAGTTCCTGCGACCCCCCCTAGTAGCCATCATCTGCACCAGCCCGTCAAGGTGAGTTTTGGACTTAGTTATGTCGCCCGAAAGGTACTGTGTTTCCATTATTCAACCCATTAGTGAACATTTCGCTTCGCCAATAAGGATAAACTCACAGTGAAGAAAGCTAGCGGAATGACGCCAGCAATGGCCCCATCTAGCCCCTCATCAATGCCGCGGTGTGACTGTTCGATACGCTGCCTGACGAGTTGCAATGTCTGGGTTTGATGATAAAGTGTTACTGGGTTTTCACAGTCGTTCCGGGCCGCGTCCAGGTGTGCGGAGGCAGCGTAAAGACTGGCGTGGAACATACAAGGGTCAGTCGAGCTCTCTCGCATATAGACCGTTCGCATTTGGTAGGCGATACTGTTGAGATCAACAGAGCTCTTTGACATTCCAAAATCTTGCAGGACTATTAATGTGATCATTGGTACAGGTTCCTATTTTGCTATAAGCTGCTATGCGAGCGAGGTTCATGGCACTCACATTGTTGCCGAAGGAATGGCATGTACCATCGTTCTTGAATGGGGTAGTATGCTAATGGATCGAGCTCCATAGGAAGGGCCAATGTGACCCGCGATGTGTTTCCAGGGTCTTCAGGAGTGGGTATTCTTGTGGTAGTGGCATTCTGGATAATATCTGGATTATCGTATGAGCAATCAAGCCCAAGTCTGCAGACGGCGAGGAAGATTAGGGAGTTGAAATGCGGGCAAAGAAAGGAAGTGCGAACCTCTGGCAACGCCCACATGCCGGACGATGCTTGTCGCATTTGCGCTTCCCAAGGCGACAAATCTTGCAGACCCTCGGTGGACGTTGTAACAGCGAGCGCCGATAGCTAACGTCATGCGTGGGGGAAGGGGGCGTAGGCACGGGGGGCGCCCAGGCTTCCGGTTCCGATACAGACATTGTCTTGCGTAGGCAGATCCGATGCTCCAAATGCTTTTCCGCATATCCCATTACGCATTATTTATTCAATGTGCGGGTGCGGGTGCGGGTGCGGACGCTTATAGTGGATTCAGGTAGGGCTGACGCACTGCCTTTCTTATCTCCGGAAGGAGCACCGGAGTTTACCTACGTGGGGCGAATCTTGTTGATTTTTACAGATAAGTGGTTGCCCTGAAAAACTTCCATGCAGATCGGCAAATTCAGTTAAATTCAGCCCGTAAGATCTCAAAGCGACCCACTTTTCTCCGCTACGGTCTGAGGAGTAGCATTATCAGAACTGAGGAGCAGCAGTGTAGTGCTTTCACGTCTTGCCTCTGCTGGGCCTCCAACAGCGACGGTCTCAAGATGATCTCCTTGAAAGTTGATTCACCCTCGTAGTTATTCGCCCATCTCCACGTTTCTCATAGTCACCGAACCCAATATTCTTTCTCGATAAATCGCCAGACTATGTCTCCCCTGCAAAAACTGTGCACCTAACACAAAATTAAGGGACGAGTTCATGACTGCCGCTATCCTAATTCTTCCGCCAAAACTCTACCTACACGAATCCACAGATAGCTCTGATTGTGCTTCTGGGTGGAAAGAAGCACTATTCAGCGAGCCATTTTATGTTTGGCAGGCTGTCCGGGTAGAAGGATTGAAGGGTCTCCATGTCCTCTGAGTGAGAGTAGGAAAATAAGAGCCAAAGTTCCATGAAAATTCATCCAAGTCTACTTCACTCATGTCGCATGTGTTTAATATGCATATCTTGATTTCCTCGTTGTAGAATATACAATTCCAGCTACAATCCATGAGCACAGACAGATCGCAAAGCAGAAACTAAACTTCACTGGAACCCCCACTACTCTCGTCCGGGTTGGTTCTGTGGTTGAAAGCTAAATCAATTTGAGTGGTAGGTTACCACCCCACTTCTCTCGACAGCTTACCACTGGTTTCAAATCAATTGACATGTTCTAATCGAATATTATTAATCTTCAAGTACCTCCTCTCATCGAATACAGTTTGATTTCAAATCTCTCAATGGTTCCGCTGGGAACCATGAATAATCACCTCTATTCTATTGACAAATTCAATGTCTGGAGCCACTTCAGTCAGATTCCCCCTACAATCCTGATAAATAGCCTCTTTAAGTCTCTCCATAAAGCATAAAGTGATCATTCCGTACAAAGGAACTCTTTTTGAGTCACTCCAACCTACTGTACCTCATTTTTTTCTTTAAAGATATTCTCAACCGGGTTGAAAATGATGGCGCCATTGAACTTACCGAACTATATGGATTCGACCGTGGATGTTTCGATTATACACGGAGGAAGAACGACTGTGCCCACGGCTTATGTGGTTAAAGTTCCAATTGCAGGGCATAGCTTGCTTGATATGCCTTGCTACAGCTTCCTTATAGAAAACAAGAAGCTGAACAAAAAGGTCCTCTTCGATCTTGGGCTGAGAAAGGATTGGAAGGAGAAATTGCCACTCCCTAGTAAGTACCACCTGTGTCTGTCTGTCGAATTCATTGGGCTATTCAAAAATGCACTGTATCACAGCCCACTACGTATACTAATTGTGATCGGTCCGAAAGTCCTCAACCAAATTGAAGCCGCTAAGGCGGTTGTGGACATTGAGCAAGATGTTGCTGACCAACTTCGCAACGCCAATGTCCCTTTGGAATCGATCAACGCTATTATCTGGTCACACCACCATATGGACCATACGGGAGACCCATCTCTCTTCCCTCCTTCCACGGATCTAGTGGTTGGCCCCGGTTTCAAGCATAACAACATGACTTTTCCCGGTTACCCTATGAATCAAGATGCTCTGGTGACTGAAGACGCCTTCGCTGGTCGTAAATTGATTGAGCTCGATTTCAGTGACGCCATAGCTGTTGGTGGCTTTTCGGCTATCGACTTCTTTGGAGATGGAAGCCTGTATCTGCTAAAATCGAGCGGGCACAGTGAGTATCTGTTTCCCATGCCGACGGAATTTACCAATCCGTTCCCAGGTGCAAAGTTACTGATATTCTTTTTCCAAAAAACTATAGCGCATAATCACATCAGTGCTCTGGCTCGTACCTCGGAAAGCCGGTTCCTCTTCCTTGGGGGCGATATCGCTCATCACCCGGGAGAGTACCGACCAACTGAACACCTTCCGCTTCCAATCGAGATCAGGCCTTCACCTCTACACAAGAATACTATCTCAACTTCAGCATGTCCCAGTTCTGTCTTCGAAGCGATCTCCTCTGCAAAATCAAGAGGTTTAGATACCAAGGTCACTCCTTTCTATGAGCTGAACGCCGCAATGAACGAGGATCTGGGAGATGCCGAGGTAGCTTTGGAGAAAATGTTACCGTTCGATGGTTCATCAAAGGTTATGGTTATTATTTCCCACGATTCAAGTCTCCTGGATGTTCTTCCGTTCTTCCCTAAGAGAATTACTAAGTGGGACATGGAGGGATACAAGACGAAGGGAACTTGGAGATTCTTGAGTGATTTTGCTGGAGCTATCGAGGGAAGTGCAGAAAAAAGTACATAGTCATGGAAGCGACCTACATAGTCAACCAATGAGATCACTTACCTGTTTTGAACCACCATTATTGCGTGGTCATAAGCATGATGACTGAACAAAAATGATGTCTTGACTCGTTGAGATAACAGTTGATTAAATAATGCCCTTTGACTCGGGCTTTCAAAGCATCGGAAAGCCCAGTTTAGCTAGCTGAAGAGACTGTATCATGACCGCTGCCGAAGGGACTGAATGCATTCCCTGGGCGGAACCCATAAACAAGATGGAGAGGTTAACCCGAGATCAATCTGTTTAAAGCGGCAGGATTGATTTTTTTCCCTATATCACGAACGAAACCCATACGGCCCTTGAGCAAATTACCAAGGACATCATGGCCAGCCCAACTGGAGATTTCTAACTGTTCCGGACCATTGTTCGTCCCTATCACACTATAAAATTAAACTACCGTCATTGCTCTAGTCATTCGCTTATTTGTATTGCTGTTTTGGATACAGTTTACTCCCGTTTTCGGCACAGACCTCCGTGCAACAGAATTTCGGTGTGCCTAATGAAAGCGTGCCGCTAGTACTTCACCAATCCCAATCTAGTAAGCACTAGTCTGACTTGGGTCTAGAGTAGTCATGCGACTTCCTGTGTTTCCTCCCACCAAAACGAGTGGTGGACAGAGTAATATATATTTCTCCTGATTATCCTTACTCCCCTGCTCTCCACCATCCATACTCATCGAGATGGTCGCATGGTTGAGATCACGTCCTAAACTGTGACGAAACCATTTAGCACATGTTCTCTCAGTAGAGTTAGAGTATGCCCCCAATGCATAGATACGTAGTCCTTTGTTCTGAGCGTCAGATATGCCTTCGTTGGGTTGTATTGGGATGGGTAGTTTGGCAGCCATGGTGTACCGAAGAGGCAGAATTCTGTATTCTGATTGGTCTATTACATGACTAAGCAAGTTAGGAAGGGAATTTTGTGTGCCAGACAAAAAGTGTGCCAGATAGTATTCTTATATAAGGCAAACCCCAAAAAGGGGGTCCGTCCACCAGATTTTTGTGCCTAATGAAAATATGTGCCTAACCTGAGCGTGCCAAAAACGGGAGTTTACTGTATCTCTATCATGCCACCGATGGTATGGGCCCTGTTGATGGTGTCTTTGACACCAGCGCAAGTAAGCAAAAAAAGGGGGACGGAGTCAATCGGTCTATCTAGAGAGAGAGCAAGAAGATGACAAAAAGAAGAAGAGAAGAGCCAAATAGGCCTAAAACACGAAGGACAAATGCCTGGTCCTGGCAATCACCAGCAAACCTGCATGGCAATTCGTGCAGGGCCAAATGGAGAACTGCACCCCGAAACGACCGAGATCGAGGTCAATGTCGAGGTCAATGGGAGTCGAGTAATTACCTGTATATAGCCACATTAAGTAAAGCTCAGTCGGTAAAGACATGATACCTATTATGCCTCACAGTAACGATGATTCATCCACATGAATAACCGAGACGCGACGGCCTTGTGTCTTTCTAAGCAAACCTTGGATGTGGAAAGAATATAGATTATTAAGAATACATGATTTCTCAGCCATGATTTCCAATAAGGTGGTATGAAATCTCGATCAGCATTATTACCGCACCACATCCGCATCCGCACCAAGGCATGATTACAACAAGATTTGTCAAAAGATGTGTCGTACGTGGCGAGAGTCTCATGTCTGTACATAAATAACATTTGAAATTGCTGTTTCTGATAGACTTCTTTCTTTCTCCGTTTGATTGTACTACTTAATTTCTAAGCACAGCGCCACATCGCTAAGAATACCCCTATTAAGCTCTGAGAATTGACCAACACTTATCCCCACGCCCCCTTTTTCAACCCTAATCAAAGACTGGATTTCCTCTACTCCGTCCTTTGGCAAGTTCTACTGCGACATCGCTGACAGCATGCAAGACATGTCTCGCAGGAAGCGAATTGTGATAGTGGATAAGGAATAACCAGTATGTGGACGACGTGAAGGTAATAAAGAAAGCTTATAGCACTCGCTCATCAAAGAGTGGAGACGGGTTACCTTGATTCATTGCTTCTGAAAGCGCACCATGCTGATCTTCTGACTGAAGGCTTACTATCGGGTGTTATCTCCAGGCGTTAGACAGCCGTCATCATGTCTTCCATAGCACCACTTTGCTTATGCACTGAGAGGAGCACTATCTATTGTTCATGGAGTGACCTTTGATCTGACCCTGGATATAACAGTTAACCCACCAATATCATTCCCCGTTTAGAAAAGGGAGTAGGTACAGTTCCTTCTCTAAAAAGGCAAGTGTGTCTTTTTCTCTCGGATGGTGAAGGGCGCTAAGCGAGTGTTCCTTGAAACACTTAGGTCTTTGACTTGGTTCTTTCAAATCCCCCACAGTTTCACTTCAGCCCAGCATTACTTGTGAAACCGAAAGCCGGAAGTATTGCCTGCAGCCGGACATAATGCAGATTAGATATCATGGAATATACCTCTCCTAAGCAGAGGGAGGAGTGCTGATCAAGATTAGTGACAGTGTAGTAGTGAAAGTATCACTCAAGCGTGGCGGGCCGAAATTTGTTGTAGCTGTGTCACATGGTTTTTCAGCCATGCGTAGTATGATAGAATACTTTGAATACACGATGGACCAATGACTAATGCCATGGAAACGGGAACCTTGACGATAGTAGAGCCAGGCACGTTGGTGTACCGCTTCAGACGCAGCCGCCCCAGTCAGACAAAGCCAGGAGAAGCGAAATGGGGTTGCTTCTAGCCAAACAGAATCACTTGTCTCTCGCAAAACCATGGTAAGCTCTTCGAGTAATTTGCATTGCACAAATTTTGTATTCCGATTCCGGCCAATGTCGTTAAGTATGGTGAAAAATAAGATTCCGGTTAGATAGACTGCGCGGATGACGGGCGATTGGCGTTTTTTTGAGCGTATTGAACCCGCTGAAATCTCGGCTGGATCTAATTCGTTTATATAATAAATACGTTCGGAGCGCCACCGTTCTTAAATTAAGGCGATAAATACACTATGGGGTTAGCTCTGCGATGTTGTGCTGGAAGACTATATAGTATTATACATATCGTGGATAGTATCGCGTGTGACCTTATGGAGCCGGTCTTCGCTATATGATTTATAAACTTCTGTTATAAGTTTAGAGATACACTATATTAATACTCGAGGAGGCTAGTCTGTCTAAGCAAGCGAGGAAAGCTCGAGATACGAATGATCGAAGGTGATAGTGAAGACTAAGGCACTTCTAGAGACCGTAAAGAATTAGCTATTAGATTAGATACATAGAATTCTAGATATAACGAGACTTATAAGGTTATTAGGCCGCCTAATAGGCCACTTAATCCTAGGTTTCTACGACGCCCCCTAGTAGCCATTATCTACACTAGCCCGTTAAGGTGGTTTTAGGACTTAGTTATATCGCCTAAAAGGTACTACGATCTCAGTTCCTACCTATCAGAAACCACGCCTGTGCTCTAACAGGGACAGACTTACGGAAGAGAAAGCCAGTGGAATAACACTAGCAATCGCGCCATGGAGCCCCTTATTAACGCTATGTTGTGACTAGTTAATCCGGTGCCTAACGAGGTGCAAAGTCTAGGTTTGATGATAAAGGGTAATTAGGTTATCACTAGACCTCGCTTTAGGTCGGGTTTGGGTCCAACTTCAGGACCCGTACCCGCAGGTCGGGTTTATACCCAATACCCAAAACCCATACCCGTAGACCCGTGGGTTCTTAGCGGGTAGCCCGCGGTTACCCGCCAAGAACCCGTTTTAGCATAAATATCCTAATTAGTTCATGCTAAGGCGCACAAAACTGCTGGTTAACCTCAATAAAAATACTATTATTTATATCTATTCCAGTCACCTCTATGGTTCTTACTAACAAAACCCTCTTTTCTCTATAAAAGATTAAGAAATTAGCCGGTTTTCTTTTTAATCAATAGTAGTAATATTACATATTTTGCTTTAACGACTATATAATATTATTGTGGTTTTAAAAACTAATATAGATCAAAACTCTATCGTTAGAAGTACGGAAATATATTATAAACTATAGAGTGAAGTACGTATATTTTTGCAAGGATAATATAGAATTCTAATATCTCTTTAATCCTACGACTTACGAGGGATTATTTAGTCTCAAAACAATCAGCGTATATTTATTAATCTATACGTCAACTAATCGAGTGCTCTTTTATCTTATTTAGGTTATTAATTGCGAAAAAGTGGATGGATTTTACCTTAATTAAAGACTTAGAACGAAATTATTTAAGGAAAACGGGTTATCTATAGGTTTATAGGTTCTTAGCGGGTAACCCGCGGCTTACCTATCCTATATACAGGCTATAAGCTAATAAGGGAGTGGTTTTATTGGGGTTGCCTTATAATGTAGCCTCACGTGATATCTACACCGATATTACGGAGGGCTCCTCTTCCTCCTATAACTGCCTCGAGAGTCAGTTACTAGCCTCTGCCGGTAGCTCGTTATCTCTTACGTAGTTAAGTCTTAATTTTGTGTTTCACGTTATAGAATATAGAATAGAATAGATATAAGAATCTTTATATAAATAGATTCTATTAATAGATTCTATATTTAAATAGAATCTCTATAGAATCTCTATAGAACTATAGAACCATATGATATCATATAGGTCTATACGATTCTATAGTGAGATCATCACTTATTATTATTGCCACCTATTGCCACTGAAAATCTAGGGATAAATACTCCCTCGATCCTCTGCTAAACAGTTTTGAATCT